TTCAAGTTGTCCCTGTGCAACAACAGACAAATAGCAGTGACTGTGGAGTATTTGCTGCCACCTTTGCTACATGCCTTGCTTATGGTATACACCCTGAAACAATGCAATTTGATGTCCCTAAAATGAGAAACCATTTATATCAGTCTTTAAAATCTGGTGTATTGAAAATGTTTCCTAAATTTTAGACTGCTTAAGGTACATCTACAGTTAAAAAATTTTTGGAGAGAAAGAATACCCACTTTATTATAGTGAAAATAAAATAGTTGCCCGATGCAATGGACCTGCATACTTGAATGCTCAAGATGGAGGGTAGGGACCCAGTCTACGTTGAATCGATCCCAATCTTTCGCAGCTTCTTCTGAAACGAAGTGCCGGCTGCAGACCCTATCGCGTTCTTAAATATCATCAGTTAAGTCATCTCTACTTATCGCACAGATCCACATTCTTCTTCGCTCAGAAGTAAGTTCTTCGGTGTACTCTCCTTGACTATACTGAACACGTGGGACACGAAAAAACATTACTTTTTCGACGTTAGACCCTTTCTTCCCTGTTTTTTTTCCACAGCTAATGACAAGGCAAGGGACTGTGATAACGAAAATATAAATATTACACGATTGTCTTCTCAAAACCGTAAAATGTGCTCCAAATGTTTCCTGTCACAATACTCAGAGCTGATTATCATGGAACACCAACATGGCGGATGAAGTGGGTTACCATGACGATAAAGAAATTTGGTCACGTGAGTGAAAACAGCGCGCCATCGTGTTTAAGTTACACAGTAAAATGGTAGAAAACGGAAGTGGTTTCTCCATAATTCACAACGCTGTTATCATTTTAGCAAGGTTCGAAAGAATACGGTTTGTTTTATTATAGAAGCAGAAATGGGTTTTAAACACAGATAAAGGATCATTGGAATAGAAATGTCTTTCGCCGTGATTTATGCAGGTAACGTGACATCTAGTCGACTCGTCGAATCGTGCAGAACTTAATTTTTATAACGTCTTATAAACATCCAATTCAGAGTGTACAGCCACGCAAATAATAATTCTTGATACTTCTTAGGAAGAATTTTACAGTTGTATTGTTTGAGCTGTCGCTAAGTAATATTTATCGATGTACGCGAATTTAATGTTATTATTAAACCACCTTCATAATGGTAATTTCAGTTTATCGTTAGCGAACCTTGACTACATAAACATAGAAGAATCCATATAAAAGTATTTTTGTTTGGCCGTACTGACGAGTTTGACACTAAAAACTGCACCTTATTCTGTCGCTAAGTAATATTTATCGATGTACGCGAATTTAATGTTATTAGAAAACCACCTTCATAATGGTAATTTCAGTTCGTTGTTAGCGAACCTTGACTACATAAACAAAGAAGAATACACATAAAAGTATTTTTGTTTGGCCGTACTGACGAGTTTGACACTAAAAACTGCACCTAAGTCTTATTTTTTATCGGCACCAACATTTTAATCTCAGAACGCATAGAGTGAAGCCGTAGCTGACTTGCTAAATGTGCTCGTTTTTAAGAAAGAGATCAGTAGTGTAAATTACCGAGAATTTACGTTTAAGACCGAGGTAAACATTCCCACACAACTTTTTTGATTTAATTTGTCTGCCATTTTCAGGGTCTAAGTTACGTTCGATCCAAACAGTTTTAAGAAGCAATTTAGAGTTCATAGAACAGTTCTCTCTGTGCTTGGATCGAGAAATGAGATCGATACCAAATTGGAGACACTTGGCAGCAGAACTTGAGGTCGACGTGGATGTAATCAGACGCTTAGAACAGTACCGCGACTTCAGTCCTACCATCCGATTATTTGAATATCTCGAGCAGAAACGACCAGATTTGACAATTAGACATCTAAAAGACGCTTTTGTGGAGATAAAGAGAAACGACCTTGTAAGGTTGCTGGCCGTAGAAGGTATCATTATCGAGACAAATTGTAACTGCCCCTTGGAAATAATAAATAACCGAGGGAAATCAGGGAAATACTAATCGGCATGTGTGCTGAGGTTTGTTGCTTTTGATTGGCAAATTTTGGAAGGAAGGTGGCCCCTTCACCATCCTCATAGGTTGAAGAAACCATCAGAATGAATTTTGAAAAGCTTTTTTTTCACTCCTTTATGATACAGCTTGTGTGGTTGTTTGTTGTAGCTCTCATGAGATAGTTTTGTCAAATGCTAACCGAAACCAATATCCAAAGTGTACTGGCTTTCTTCAGCTTATGACTGTTGTGAGTCGTGGTGAACGCGCTATAGTTAAATGTTAAATGCTAGACATAAGCTTTCTTTTCAAGGTTAAAAAGCGTATTTTTATTTTTGATTATATAAATGATACAGTGCAAATTCATTCAAGTTATGAGTTATGGTGCAAGTGCAACATGACTGAAGTTTAAGAGAAGGCAAGAGAGGATACTTTATCCTGCTTTGGCGAAGCTCTTCGGTTGTGTATACATTCTATGTTTTCTTTGTGAAAATCAGTGTTTCCTCTGTATTCTAAATTTTTTCAACTTATCTTTTAGCCAGTTCTGGTGACTCTGAAAAAGTCAAAGATGCAATTAGAGCTGATCTTTTGGACGAAATTGCCTTGGCTTTGGACGATTCTTCACTGGTTCTGTCAAACTGGAAAACCTTGGCAGTGAAATTGGGTGTGTCCCGAGATGCTTGCCGGGAAATGGAGAGACAATCGATGGAAAGTCCAGCTGGAAAACTGTTCCAGTATTTGGCTACCTCTCTCCCAGAAATGACGCTTTCGAGTTTGAAAAAAGCTCTGGAATCTGTTGAGAGGGGGGATCTCATTAATTTCCTTCTGGAGCAGAACCTAGGAGGTGATGAGCGTGTATATCGGAAAAAAAAAAAAAAAAAAAACCTAATAAGAAAAAAGGAAATTTTATGTCACTGAGGCCTGAGTTTTTTTTTTGAATACAAACCTTGTGATCCTGGTCTAGTGAAGGAGGTAATTACAGGAAAACTTGTAGGCTTTTATATTAGCTATTGCACCAAATTAATAGCAAATTTTGGTAAGGTATGAAAAGCCTGGCATTCTACAGAGAAAGTTGACGAACTATGATCTCATGATACATTTGTTGTTCTTCAGATGATGTGGTTCTTAAGAATATTATCGTCCCTGGATCGGACCTCCATGAAAGGATGACCCAAGAACTTAATCGTGAAGGACCTGGCATCAAAAACTGGAGACATGTGGCATCGAAGCTGAAAATCCCAGCTTATGTATATGGAAATTTTGCTGACTTTGAGCAAACCAGGAAAAGTCCTACAAAAAAAATCCTGGAATGGGTGGTCGCTCGGTTTCCTGGAAAAACATTAAGTGATCTTGCTGAGGCATTAGATAAGATTCAGCGTAATGATGCCATTCAGATAATATCAAAGTACTATCCAGACACAGTTGGTGAGTGCATTACTGCCTAAAGAGAACTTTTAAGCCTCGCAGAAAAAATTGTTTCATTTAACTTGTCTGTTGGCATTCTTGCAATTGCACCATCAGCCCAATGTACACATGTATGCTGTCGCTATTATGATATTTATTCTTACATGTAATTAGGGGTCTTGTGTACGCAGGTTGATATCATATGTTGAATATGCATGAACTTCTACGCATCCCATGTGCAGAGAATGGTTCAAAGAACCCTGGACAGTTTTTATGGATCGTCTAATTTATCTGTTTCAGATTTAGCCCTAGAGAAACTAAGTAGTTCATCCCAGGAGAGCGTTACAATGCCAGATTCAACAGATCAGGTAATATGCACTAGCCACAAAAAGACAGAACATGGTTCATCCAAAGAGAGCTTTACAATGCCAGATTCAACAGGTCAGGTGCTGTATACTAGCCACAAAAAGGCAGAACATGGTTCTCGTCCCAGTCAAGGTAAAAAGAACATTATTTCACGACAATTCCGTTATGTGTGAATGTGTTTTTTAGGAAATATTTAGCGCTTTGTTAGCATTATAGTGATTGCACCATCAGTCCATATTGTAGTCAAACGTCCAACACGCTACATGTCGTTTAATCGATTTCACGAAATGTACAATATAAGCGAAAAGCGATGCGAAGCAAGCGGTGGAAACGTTGTATGACTAGGACAGCTAGGAACACGAAAACGAAAAGCGGAGAAGACGGTAAGCGAACTGGACAAATGAAACGTGGCGATGGCAAAGCACAAGTGAGCTAAAAAACGCATGCAAAAAGGCATTAACGAGACGAAATTATGCGAAAACACCCAACAGAATATTGATTAGGTAAAGGCGAAGAAAAAGACAAAGAATGCGATAATGAGAGGAAAAAATGCGCTTACAAACGAGAAAACAAACAAAAGAGACAAATACAGCCATGCGGCGGTAACAGCCCAATGTGCACATGTATGCAGTCGACATTATGATATTTATTTCTTACATGTAATTATGGGTCTTGTGTATGCAGGTTGATATCGCATATTGAATATGCATGGACTTCTACGCATCCATGTGCATTGAATGGTTAAAAAAACCTGGACAGTTTTTATGGATAGTCTAATTTATCCGTTTTAGATTTAGCCTTAGAGGAACTAAGTTGTTCAATTCAAGAGAGCTTTACAAAGCCAGATTCAACAGGTCAGGTGCTATATACTCTGGGGCGGATCCAGGATTTAGTCAAGGGGGGTTCGGAGAATTGTCCCCATCCGGAGGAGTCCGAGATTTTGAAAATTAGGTCTTCGGAAACATGATTTCCAGCGTTCTGAAGGAAAATTTAGGGGGTTCCACCGAACCACCCGAACCACCCCTGGATCCGCCCTAGATACTAGCCACAAAAAGAAAGAACATGGTTCTCGTCCCAGTCTAGTTAAAAAGAACATTATTTCACGACAATACCGTAATTTGTGAATGCGTTGTTAGGAAATATTTAGCGCTTTTAGGGAGCTTTCAGTCGGTGAGTGCATTGCTACCTCAAGAGAGCACGATGGTTTAAAAGAGTCTATTGGGTCTTGCAGAAAATTGTACGTTTTTCATTAACTTATCTGTTCGCGTTCTTGCAATTGCACCATCAGCCCAATGTGCACATGTATGCAGAGGACACTATGATATTTATTTCTTACATGTAATTATGTCTTGTGTACGCAGGTTGATATCGCATATTGTGTTTGCAAGTTGATATCGTGTATTGAATATGCATGAACTTCTACACATTCATGTGCTTTAAATGGTTAAAAAAAAACTGACTAGTCTTGATGGATAGTCTAATTTATCCGTTTCAGATTTAGCCTTAGAGGAACTAAGTTGTTTAACTCAAGAGAGCTTTACAATGCCAGATTCAACAGGTCAGGTGCTATCTACTAACCACAAAAAGGCAGAAAATGGTTCTCGTCCCAATCAAGGTAAGAAAATCATCATTTCACGAATATCCCGTAACTTGTGAATGTGTTGTAAGGAAAGTGGTTAAGAAGTTCAGAACGATTTCTGTCGGTATGTTTCAATTAGTGCTTTAAGGGAAAAGCTCTTGAAAAAAATTATAATCCTAGTTAGGAAAAGTATCTTTGAAGGATGCTACGTACTTTGCACCAGAGAAACAATGATAATGGGGTTATAGTTCTATTGCAGTGTAAGATTTTCTCTTCCCCACTTGATGTCTTAAAAAATCTCAGTCTACATTGCGGCATAAAAGGAATGATATTAGTATGCACTTATTCAAAGTCCATGACAAGGGCAAAGGAAGGAGAAAAGCTTGCTTCGGTTTCCTAACAGGGAAATGATAACTCTTTGCTGGTTAGCAAAGAAGGAAAGTTACTTAAGTCATTTATTACATCCATTTTGAAATCACTGGTGGTCCCTGTAATCTGATTGGCTCTAACTGGTGCGATTTATTCACGAATCGCACCATTTTTTGCTCTAAATCGCATCTTTTTTCCAATCAATGAGGAAGTTACACTTAAAACAAACAACCACTCAGATTTCAAGGCTTGTTCAAAGTGATCAATCAAATTGCAGGAAAATGAAAGACAAAGAGTATCATTTGGCAAACTTTGCAACTTTTTTGCTCAGTCAGTACTGCATCAATAAAATATTTGGATTGACTAAGTCCTGTATTTCAAAATGGATGCAATAAAGTGGTAATTAAACCTTGTGTCGTGCAATTTTGGTCTGAAATCATACTTGTGATTTCAAATCACGCGTATGATTTCAGCCCAAATTGCACTCCATTCAGTTCAATTATCATTATGTATGTCCCCTTTATTCCCTTTTCAGATGTAAAAGTGGAGGAAGAATCTGGTTACTATGGAGGTTTGTCAGATCGAACAGTTTTAGTGGGCGGCTGCGATACTTGCGAAGGCTTCAATGTTATATATGCTTTGTCCTTAAAAACGGCAGATGTAATTGTTGAAGAAGAAAATCAGAAGATTGTGGTGATGGCCTCTACATTTCCGTTCGGATTCACGCAAGAGCAATTTGAAAAAGTCTTTGGTTTACCAGAAGCTGATAATTTTCAAAAGCGTCTGAATTGCTTTAAGGAAAGTAATCTCCTTCGCTACGACAGAAGAAAGTGTCAGTATTTCCTTAATCGTTCCACTATAGATTTCTTGTCCTTGAAGCCCTATTACAGAAAAGCCAAATCAATTTTCACTCGTCACTACAGTGACTTGGCTGTATCCCTTTGCAAAACATTCTTGACTAAAGATTGCAAGACAGCAATTGATCAGTACAGATCTGAAAAGGACAACATTCGAGAAGCCATGGCTTGGTGTGGAGGTGATCATCTTGAGCTTGAACAAACCGTAAGAGAACGAGCTATTGCCGCGTTCAATGAAGCAGCTACATTTCTTGCCAAAGTGATGCCCAAACAAGAGTTTCAGTCGCTCTTTTACAAGCTTGCTTGTCGATGTGCCTTTCACATGCAACTTCGTTGTGCTTGCTTGACTAACATTGGAATGAAAGTTGTGTTAAGCTGTACATGTACACCTTATATTTGTCCAAGAGCCTTAAATCAAGCAAAGGAAATTTTGACTCGAGCAAATGAGCTTCAGTCAACAGCTAAAGGTGTTTGCGACGCAACTCGTGCCCAGTGCTTGAGCAAGCTTGGATTCTGTTATGTTCGCGAGGGGCGCGTTGAAAAGGGTTTTGAATACATCGACGTTGCTTTGAAATTGCGAAAGGAGAAAGCAGAGAAATCCAAGAGGAGCAAAGACGAAGTCATGTTGGCCGCTTGTATCAATGATTTGGCAGGTTTGTGACAATTTCCTTTTTATTCTATTTCATTTTTTTCATCATATTAGATATTTACGAATGAACAGTATTGAGAAGGAATTATTTGAAACATGTCATCTCCATTTAATCTATGCTGTAAAACCTGTTGATTGTATATATAGGATCCACTGATATTTTGGGAGAGCTTGGCAAAGCATAGCAAGATCAAAATTGCTTAGGCGTCGTACATCTACAGAGATGGTGGTATAGGTTCGTATGTAGAAAGAACTAAACAGCCCCACCTCACTCTAGTTTCCTAAATGGCTCTTAATTGTTAAGGTTAGAGCAGGTCTCAGAAGAGAAAAGCGCAATTTTGAATAAAGGAAGTCGGTATGTCATTGAACTCCTTAAATTTATCACTTTATTTGTTTTACTTTTAGCTTCTCAAATGGTGCAGCGAAACCATATGCTGGCTATCCATACAAGGCTGCAACATGTACTTCCTGTTTATGAAAAGAACCTCGGTGACCATCCGTTTACGGCAACGACAATCAACTGGATTGGTAACAGCTACCACGCTTTGGGCGACTACGATAACGCCATTAAATATATCGGTAAATCCGTAGAGATGCGAGCAAAACTTTTGGGGCCTCATCAGGAAACAGCGAGGTCTCTTTACGATCTAGGTGTAGCCTTCACTGCGAAACAGAACTACGAAACGTGAGTAAAGATACTCTGCTATTTATTATTCAGCATTTTATAGATCCCACACCCTCTCATCAAAAGTTAACAGCAGAAGGGAGAATAAGGAACCTCGACACGACGGCATACAAAAACCTTTATTAATATGAGCATTTGCTCCTTCTTGTAATTAATATAACTCTGTCAAAATTTCAAGCCTAGAGGAGCACAGTCATTTCCATAAAAGGCCAATTACGTAGTTGCGTGACGACGACTTGTTAATGTGTAATGTAGCGCAGACAAGTGTGATGCTCGAGCTAGCTGTCGTTTTACTTGTTGACTCACTTCCTATGTCTTATTATCTGGTTGTGCTGCTGCCACGTGAACCTCCTTGCATTTTGAACCTCCTTGCATCTTGAAAAACTCCTATGATTGATCTAAAGCTGAACTATCTGTAAGTCAAAATTATACTGCGAATGTGTTTTCTCCCTTTTTTGCACCGTAAGGCTATGATTTGAACAGCAAGACGGACGAACACTGTCTTTCTTGAATGGTTTCTACTCTTTACAGATCTTAACATTCAATTTAGATTTCATATGTATAGCAATGTATCAGAAAGATGTCAGTCTCTGACACCTAAGGAGAAAGAACTTCGAGGAAGTGCTTCATTTACCACTGTATCTATTTCAGTGCCCTTAAATATCTTGAAGAGGCAGTTGGTTTACAAGAAGAAGTATTAGACACGTACGACGAGCTGATTTACACTCACCAAGCCATGTCCATTGCCCTTCTTGGTCTTGGAAGAATCGAGGAGGCGGAAGAAGAAATGAAACGCTCGGTTGAGTGTGCGAAAAAGTTAGATTCTTGGGAAGCTCCTTCAGAAATGATCGGAACCCAAGAACTAGAATTCGACTGGGAGCATTTTTAAAACACTCCCCTGCAGTTAACAGGGAAATTCAGACTTTAAGAAAATCTCTCTTGATCACAGCCGTTGGACCGAAGTAGATCTGTACATACTAATCAACTACGAAATTCAGATCTTGATGAAAAACTTTTGTCTACAAAGGCGGACCGATTGAAAATCGGTTTGTCAATAGATTAATCAATCAAAATGATTAATGCATTAGTTATTTAGGGCCAGGGCGCACTGGGAAAAATTTGTTCATTTTGCGAGAAAATCTGTCATTATTTCTGCGAGACAAATTAAACACGCATGGTGATTTGTTTTGTCCAAATTTTGTTAAGCCATACCTATCTTCGAAGGTGCCGTCGCCCTTCCTCGGAGCAGGACAAATTTTTGTCAGCGGCGTGAAGTCTGACAAATTTTTTTTTTAATTTACACACCATGATTTGAAAGAAACGTCGATCAACAAAAAATTTTATCGCGCTTTTTTAAAGCGAGCCGAGTCTTTAAGACAGAAGCCTTCCAAAATGTTTTATATTACACAACAATTAAACGGTGAAGATGAAGGATGCATACTTCGGGATGCGGCACGCCTATCAATCAAGCGGTCTGTCAGCTTTTCTATCTGCATCCCTGTCAGACAATCAGTCGTTGAGTAAGTCAATCAGTCAATCGATCAGTACAACTCCCTTCTACTTTCTCATTTCTTAAAAAGCAGAAAGCAGTTTTGCACAGAAAAAGCAAGGCAAAAAAGAGAAAAAAAAAATAAAACTTACCTCCCTGAGAAACATGAATTGCGAGGATTGATTTTACAATCGTCGATTTCTATGTGATGCGTAGGTGAAATAAATTTTTTATTTAATTTTTTTAAATATTATTTATTTAATCCCTTTTGCAACAAACTGCTAAATAAACAATTCCAAATGAATCTCAAGACAAAACTAGGTGTATCTAGGATCTTTATGATTTTAAGACGAAACAAATCGCTGATGCATTACGAAAGGTTGCAGCCATTTTTGCTACAGGGAGTCTACCCGCCCATTTACTGCCTTCTTGTCGTCCCCTTTGACTAGTCTTAGTCCTCGTCGTTCTCATCTCTCTCACGTTTTTAGAAGCTAGTGAGATTCTGCTTAGGACATGCAATTTAAGGACCTCTTCATAAAAGCCTGGCAGAGGACCTGGGACGGATTTTGTACCCTGTTCATGTAGGAAATCTCATCCTGGACACCAGTATTAAAAAAGTACTTAAGGTTCCCCAGAATACCCGTGCAACTTATTTCGAGATCCTTGGAACGGGTTTGAGACTGTCATAGCGTTGTATGCTAGCGTGGTTTCCCAATTGCTATTATAGGTTGGTATTCTTCTCCTGTAGAAGGAGAAGGCTGTAGAAGGCCCATAACTGCACAGCTTTGCTGCGAAAGAGAAGTTATCTTTTTTTTTTTATTTGAAGCAAAGAAAGCAGAGATCTTTTAGCGAGGCTGTTGGCACAAACTTGGTCAAATTGACTTGTGGAGGAAAAACACCCAGGCCAGAAGGTGCTGAAAGTGTTGTGTCTTGGTGTCTGGGCTGATACGTTCTGATGAGTAAAATTTCCAGCCTGCTTGCAAATACCTCGGTCTCAAAACCAAATGTTTGTTAACCGGGTCACTAAACAATTAAAAAATGTACCTGAAGGAGGTCAAAAGGCACTTAAAGCCAGTTCATTCATGTAATGGTAATGAAATTGTTGTGGTACTTGTTATTGCTGGTCGACGTCATCACAACTAACGGGAAAAAAAGATTGTTATTGATGTTGTGCTGTGGTACTGGTATTTTGTTTTCAAGAATGGACATTATGATAATGTGTGTTAACTGTATTTAAATAACAGACAATGGGGGGAGGATCATGCGCATGCTCCCTAGGGAAAATTTTAATTTTCAGCAAATCAGAAATGCTATTTTGGGGGTAATGGGATAGGAAATGTGGCCTTAATTTTTATGCCATTATGAGTACACTTTATAGTGATTATTAGAGGGTGACCTCCCATTTAGAACCTATTTTTGGGCTGACCTTTTTGTGCTTTAAAGCCCAATTATTTTTGCGTGCCCTCCCCCATTAGATCCTAGGAGCACCCCCCTGCTTCCTAAAAAATGGATAGTGTCTTAGGATAAGAAAACTAGGGTGGAATGTTGGGTGGTTATATTGTCATATTCACCTAAAAAAAAATTGAAGTTAACACAAGATAACTTTATTTCAAAATGAGATAAAAAACATAAACAGCCAAATACTTAACCCTTTCACTCCCACAAGTGACCAAGACAGAATTTCTTCTATCAGTCTCAAAAGAATATCAAGCAGACAAGTGATAAGGATGGAGAACAACATCAATTAAGAGATTATTAGTTGATCCAATACCAAAGTCTCCATACTCACATTATTAGAATTGGATAGCAGACAGTAAGGAGAATTACTAATAAGATCTGAGAGCAAAAGGGTGAATATTCATTGAAACTTAGTATTGTTATAATCTGAGATACAAGTTGATTATGATGCATCCCGCCTTGATGTAGTACTTTTCATGCTGAATGAAATGAGGGCAGTAGAACTTTTTATTAAAATTTAGAATGAAATCAAATCCCGAAGGATTCTAAGAAAGAAAATGAAGATCTCTGATTGTTTGTTTTTTGGTCATGTTAAGACTTGACATTATGATCAGAAATTGCAAAGAATTGATTATTTAACCCATGGTGCACACTGCTTTTACTGCTTAAGTGTTGTAAAGAAATCGTTATATTTAGTCTTTATGTAATGGAATGCATAATTAATGTTGCGAAATTATGACGATGTTAATTTATTTATTACACCTTAAAAACATTATTTCGTTCCTTACACATGCTAAGAGCAGAATCGAAGTTTATGTGAACTCTACTATTACGGCGAAACGGGGAGGGGTGGCAAGGAACGTCACAGATCACTTCCGGTCCGGTTCACGGAGTGCAACTTTCGTCCATGGTCTTCAACTTCCGTCAATTTCTGCCTCGTCACGATATCTCATTCATTCCTTCCAAAAATGAAAGCGAAAAACTGATCGGAAATCGATCCAGCCTGGTTGACCGCGGGCTCACATAAACAAGCCTCCAGGCTGGGGAGGGCAGGGGGAGGGAGGGAAGGTGTTTGTTGACCTTTTTCTCACTAAAACATTTTATAGTTTAAACCGATTAGCTTCAATTCTGATAGAATTAAATGTTATAACGGCTACTAGTTTTCATAACTATTTTGCGCTCCTGCGAAGGAACGTAGAAAATGGTCTCGAGTAGGGTACCCGCCTCCGGCTATACTTCGATGCAATTTCGAGATCGATGAAAACCATAGGAAGTGATTTTGGAGGTTAATATCGTCAAAGACGAGTTTTCTCGTTGATCTAAGTCGGTAGATTAGTGCTATATCTCTCGTGTAAATAATCTGCGGTTACACACCTCGGTTACTCCTAGCTAATTCAGTAGGATTTACGACCAAGATTCCTACAACCGCTACCGCTAATAACGGAGATTTGTGAAGCTGTTGTTCGACTCAACAGCACAAACTTTTACTTTCTTCAAATGAATTTCTTCTAATTAGCATACAGGAATGGAGGCTTACAGCTTGACTCTTATGAAACCTTTTCGTCATGTTCCCCTCTCGACTGGTAGGTAATGCTTTTCTCATCCATTGGGTTGAATTTTCACTTTTGAATAACAGTGTTATGCAAATATTTTCCGGTTTCTGAAGATGGATCGTACTGTACTTGTTGTGAAATCTTGGAATCTTTACATTTTCGCTTTTAATTCGGAGCGGGTTTTAACTTGAAAACGCGGACAGCTCACATTTGATTTTAGTAAGAATAATACATCCTTTGCCAAAGCTGTGAGCGATCTCAACGTAGAGACCATTTTAATATTTCGTTTTCGTCAAATATGCGGAACATGAGCGGAAATGAAATTAAGCTCGTAAAAATGGTAAGTTTACCTTTCGAAAGTTGCCAAACAAAACTAATGATGACGAAGAGAGACTACTGAACTGAAGTTTCTCATTGGTTCAGAAACAATTTCAGCAGTTTTAGGGATATTCGAAACACTTCATTACCATGACAGTGCCATGAAACATGTAACAGTCCGATTTAAAGTCTCACTGGGGCACATCGTTATTGTGCTTTTAACTTATACTTAGAGATGATAACCGTAAATTAGGAATTTGTGAGGTAATCGTATTCTTTCGATTGACGTTTTTGGTTTTAAACAAGCGGCTATGTTCATGATAGACCCCTTGCCTAATTAATTACTTTTGTTGCATTAAACAAAGGAGACTAGACTAGGTCACGCAACTGAGTACAATATGCAAATGAAAATATTGCAAACGAGGGCCGAAGGTTGTGAATGAGAAAAATTAAAAAAGATCGTAACCAACTTAGGTAAACTTGAGAAACAATACAGCGACCCAACATTTTCAATAATTCTGTTTAATTTTCATGGAAATTTTCTTTTTAGCCTTCAGAATCGTCGATGTCGTGAAAGAGGTAATTCAATGACTGTTGCTAGGATTGGAGATCAATAAGAAGGAAAATGATCGGTCGAGTTAACTTATATATATTGTGGCCTAACTCTTATGTCTTAGATTTAAAATGTAAACCGGTTTAGGGACTCAGTTTTGTAAAAACATTGAATTTATGATTTTTCTTATTTTCGCCAAGCTTAAGGTACGCTCTGTTGCAAGGTACGCTCATGGTAGGCTGCGACAAAAGAGATGTTTACGGGCTGAATTTGTGTGTCCGTACGCTGATTTATTACATACATACTGAGATTTACACACTGAAAAGTCGCAGGGTAAATTTCTGTTCGCAAACCGATGTAAACCAATCAAATGTCGCGTATCGCTTTTCCCACATGTGAGAAAAGCGATACGTCCAATCAGGAGCCGTGGATCACGTTTTTTCACGTGTGAACCATACGGCAAGTTGAAGTTTTCATCCAAGGCTGGTTGGCGCGGTTTCGTACACCGCACAAGCCATCGCTTTGCAAATGGTTTTCATTCAAATTCTTCCACCGTTAACATTGAAAGTTCCTGTCTCGGCGAAAGCCATGAATGAAAAGCGTTTCGTTATCCACGATTCATAACTTTTGGATTTTACACACCGCATTTTGTACACCGCACAAGCCATCGCTTTGCAAATAGTTTTTATTCGCATTTCTTCCATCGTTAATATTGAAAGTTCCTGTCTCGACGAAAGCCATGAGCGGAAAGCGTTTCGTTATCCACGATTCATAACTTTTGGATTTTATTTGAGCTCTTTCCCTTTTTACGAAGCTGCTTTCTCTCAGTGATTGTTGTTTGACCACATTTGTTTAAATAAAGCTTGTCATAAGTTAAGGAGGGTGTTCAATCTCAGTATGTATATAACAAACATAATACCACATGCAAAGTGCTTTGTACGGTGTTTACACACTCTTTGTTTTGTATCAGAAATCTCACTCGTTCGCTTCGCTCACTTTTTTGATTGCTGATACGCCACAACTCGTGTGTAAACACCGTACGCGCGCACTTTCCATGAAGTATTCTATATTTATTTCACCTTATACGTATTCACAATTAGGATCAGATTTACGCACGATCCTGGCGGGAAAACCAGACCTTATGGACCGGTTGGCACTCTTATTAGACAGAAAAATGCGATTGATACCGAACTGGACACAGTTAGCTCGAGAACTGCGAGTTGATGAAGCTGTAATTAGCCGAATGGAACAGTACAATGACTACAGCCCTACCATCCAATTGTTCGATTACCTGGAGGCCAAGCAACCAAACTTAAGCATTCAACAACTTCGACAAGAATTGACTCAGATCAATAGGAATGATCTGAATGTACTGATCACAAATGGTAACTACGTTCTTTCTTATGAATCAATTAAGAAGATGCAGTTGTCTTTTATTCTTTAATTATAATCTATCAAACATAGTTGCTTTCGTATGCTGCACGATCCTCGCAGTAGAGACTCATATATACATAGTTGCTTTCGCGAGAATGGTATAAAAGTATCACGTGGCCATATAAGTCCCAACTAAATGTGATATTCTCTGTACTTTTCAAACCATACGTTCACTACAATAAAATTCTTCGTTTAAGATTAAATGCTATCAAACAACAAACATATGAAATACATATATATGAACTGCGGTTATGAAACGTATATGTGCACGATCCTTCGCAGTAAAGCTATTTAAGCAATAGTGAAAATCAGACCTGAAAAAAATTCAGGCCTGTACGGGATTCGAACCACATATGTATTTCATATGTTTGTTGTTTGATTTATCATCTACGGGTTTATGTCGAATTAATTTGATGGCCTGCTCCCAGTTGGCTTGTTAGCTCAATTGGTAGAGCGCTGCACTAGTATCGCAGAGGTCAGTGGTTCGAATCCCGTACAGGCCTGAATTTTTTTCAGGTCTGATTTTCACTATTGCTTAAATAGTGCTTTACTGCGAAGGATCGTGCACATATACATTAAATGCTATATAAGAGGGTTTTTGCTGTTGTTACAGAATGCTCGTATTTTTGTCCTAGGATAATTATAATCTGTTCATTGAAGCTCATGATGGTATTAATGAAGTGTCAACGCAATCTACCTCAACAATGATAATTACAATAATGATGATAGAAACAATAATAATAACGATGATAGCATTAACGGTAATGATAATGATGATAACTGTCCTTTTCAAAATATATAAAGATTGATCTTATGGCTGAATTGAATGAACACACACGAGCCTAAGTCTACCATTGATTTCTGTAAAGCTTCCTATTTAGTAATAGAGGTTTTATTGCCTCATGTAAAAGGGAACTTACAGTGTGGCGATTAGTTTAGCCAACGATTGACCCTCTTAAAAGTACATATTGATGACTGATGAGGTACCGCGGCTTTTATTAGTCTCAGTATGACACTGATAACATTTGTCTTTATAGCTGGCTTTAAGGACGATGAAAAGGTTCGAGAGGTAATAACATCGAGAGATCCAAAAACTCCGACTTCCCCTCAGAAAGAAATTCTCGACCAAATTGCTTTAGCATTGGATGGGACATCACTGGTTCTCGGAAACTGGTACAACCTGGCGATAAAATTTGGCGTGTCAAGGAAAGAATGTTGGAAGATAGGGGCAGCTTCAACGGAAAGCCCGACTAACTTATTGTTTCAGTATCTGGAAGCTACTCGCCCACAAATGAAGTTGAAGAAAGTTGTGGATGCCCTTTGTTTGATGACCAGGCAAGACTTACTAGACTTCATAGCGAAGCAGAACTTTGAAGGTAGGACATACCACTAATTCGAGATTTAAGATCCGATTCCATGTGAGAAAGATTTTGAATGATTATCAATTAAAACTTTGGGTTGAGAATCTATGTGTGATTAAGTATCGAATTGAATTTACAACTCTCATGCGCTTGAGATAATTTTGTGGGCAGAATTATTTTTTCTTACTTACTTCTTTCCCCCTTTGTTTAAGTAGATACTAAAACAACCTGACAGTTGCATCATCTTTCCTTTGATAGGAAACTGATTTCAATTTATGAACGTCTCCAATTAGACGCGCACTCAACATATAATATTTAGACCTTTAGCCTCCACTGCCGACAATCATTTTTTAAGATAAAGTCGCCATGTAGTTCAACTTTAGCCAGAGTCATGATATTTAACGGTTTAAAGGAAGTAAATCGCAATTAAAGCGTATAGAATAATATGAACTTGAAATTACAATATTCCTAAGAACACAGATATGTTTTGCTGTATTTTGTCACTTTTTCATATCTGGCGTTTTTCCCCTTGACAAAACATTGGCTGCAGTGATAATGAGAATAATGCTTTTCAATTTTGCTTCAGTTTATGTTACCTCTTGGGACGTCGATTATGTGCCTTATACCCTGACCAGTCCTCTGAAAGCTTTTCTTCCCGTAATTTGTCGCAAAGTTCATGCAAGACTTCAGATATAGTGTCCATACCCATTGCCATGTCGTTCCTCATATCTTTCTTTTGCAACTGGGGCTTTTACCCCGTCACCTCGCGGCTGAGGCTTTACATCTCCGGTCTTGTGTGTACTTACTGTTCAGTCATATCCATTATCTCTGGGTAGTTATTGGATTCCAACACTGACTACTGATGACCTTTGTTTAATGCAGATGAAGTGCTACTCAAAGATATCATGATACCAGGATCGGAGTTCCTGCAAACGATGGCGGATAAACTCAACCGTGTAGTACCTGCCGTAGAGAATTGGAAACACTTAGCTTTCAAGTTGGAAATTCCAAACGAAGAGATCCGAAAGTTTGGGAGCATGACGACTGAGCCAGAGAGAACTAGTCCAACTATTGAAGTAATGAAATGGGTGGCCGCTAAGTTCCCTGATACTCGTTTAACTGATGTTGTAAGAGCACTGGACCGGATACAACGAAATGATGCAATTAAAATCATAACAGAGGAATTTATAGATTCAGTGGGTAAGTGGAAAAGGGAAGTTAATGTATAAATATTTTTCTTTGAAATCAGCGTGAAATATTTATTATAGATGGAAATCGGGCACAAGGTGATCTTCGGTTGCCAGATCTAGAATATATGTAAAGTTTGTGGTTTTTTTTTAATCAGAGCTTTATAAAACAGGGTGTGCATATTGAGTTATTGACAAAGAACGTAAAGTTCGTAAGTTCAAAGCTTAGGCCGAGCCATGGTATCTAAAAGTGATAACGATGTCCTTTATTCTCCTCACTTTTCGCCAAAAGCCAGTGCTATCAGCATCACAAGGCTCCCAAAAAGTCATTACCCTCCTCTGATTACCGATGGTTTCTTATGTACAACAGTAACCTATACACTTTACTTCTTGCATTGCTCCAAATTGAAATTTAATCGATTCAATTTTTTTTCTCTAGATCAATCCTTGCAACGATATGATTCTTCGCTGCATGATAGCCTCAACAAAGCAATGCCGATTAACGATCCAACAGGCAGGACACTGTCTGTTTCACTTTCCAGTAAAGGTAAAAAAGTTCACAAAAGAGATTTCAGGTAGACAGGTTATATAATTCAAGTATCAAGTATTCAAGTGGGTCCTGAAAACCTTTCAAGAGAAGTTTTCCAGAATAACAAAAGGTGATCACGGGGCTTTTCAATAACTCATACTGCAAAAGTCATGCTTGTTTTGACGAGAACGAATGTTGTGATCAATAGCATGATTACAGTTTTCTCAAAGACTGACGGAAGCTTTTCATGTTAACATTTTACTATTACCTGGTATATGACTGAGTGGGAATACCGTAAATTGAATTATTGGGGAGTTTCAGATATTACAACAGTAACGCCTGAGAGACCTCCGCTTAGAAAAGTGAGCCTTCATTTCTCCTCACAATTTCCCGAGTAGCTCGATGTGTTTACAGTCTTTGCCAACCTCAGATCGCAGCCCTTTCAGCGCAACGTGTAAATCGTCGTTGTTGCCGGAGTTAGAATTGGAAGCCTGCCTCGTTAGGCATTATTTGGTGATCATTTCACTGTTTCACTATGAAAATGTGAAAGGTCTTAAAACGCACATGCTAAGCTAATGTAGTGTTCATCAAATCTCTAAATCGTCGTTGATTTCTTCAGAAGTCTCCATTAATTCGTCAAAGCACGAATGAGTGCTGTTTATTGCGGCGAGTTGAGTCACTTTCGATACCTTAAATTGCGCAGAAATATATCTAGCATGCCCTGTTAATTTATATATCTTATTAACCAAGCACGAGGGCCGTACTGTGGGAATATCGACCCGAGGTCTTGACAGTACGGACCGAGCGCAGCGAGGTCCGTACAAAATAGACCGAGGGCCGATATTCTTCCAGTACGGTCTCGAGCAAGCTTGGTTAATAAGAGATTTATTATACGACTGAAGTTCAAAGGGACACAAGTGCGGTATCATTCGGGACCATTCGGGATAGTGCCCGGTCCAATACTTAGAGAATATTGGACCGGCAATAGAGCATTTTGATTGGTTGATTTTAGTTATTGGCCCTCTGACTGCCCGAGTCGTGTAATAAATTTATCATATTTTTTATACTGTTTAGTTACAGAAGACATGAAACGAACTGGTCACTGCGGGCGCTTGCCAGAACGAACAGACTTAGTGGGGCGTAATGAGATTTGCGAAAATATTGCAACTCTGCTGACTTCAAACAAATCGGTCGAAATTGTAGCACCGCCCGGATATGGAAAAACATCGGCGGTAATCGAGCTCGCTCACAGGATGATCGAAAGAGGAAAGTTTATCGCATATGTCAAACCGCGTGGTGTTAGCTGTGTAGAAGACCTGGCAAGCAAAATCATTGAGGCTTTAGGCTTCGCTCATGGTGAAGATACAGTAACTGAAGTATTTCGTCGTATCTGTTCCTTAAAGGGGATGAGTGTGATTTTGATCATTGAAAACATCGACGACTTAATGCATCTTGAGGATCAGATTAGTGACGATGAAGAACTGAAATCCAAGACGTACTGTGCAAAAATGCGTGGAAAATATTTGAAGGATGATTTTTTTACCTTTTTTAAAGACATAGGACAAATTTCAAACGTGCACCTGGTCCTCACTTCTCGAGAAACTTACAATTTTTCTGTGTCTTTCCCAATCGAAGTTATTGATTTAGAGCCGCTAAATGACAAGGACTCGGCTGCTCTGTTTACAAAGAGTGACGGTAATCTTGACAATAGCTTGATCAAAGAACTGGTCAGAGTTTGTGGCGGTATTCCTCTGATAATTTGCACTGTGCTCTTGATTCTTAAACGGGAAAATCCCAAAGAGTTTACTGAGAGACTCTCTTCAAGTTCACCTAGTGATCTCGTTAAAGAACTGAACCCAGAATTTATGGCAAATGAAGACCGCATTGATAAGTGTCTGGAAATCTGCTTTAAACGGTTAAGTCAAGAAAACCAAAGGATTCTTGTTATGTTCTCCACATTTCCGTACAGATTCACCCAGAAACAGTTCCGAACAGTCTTTGAGTCTTTAATCGGAAGCGATTTGCAGAAGCATCTAAATTGCCTGAAGCAAAGCAGTCTCCTTCGCTTCGACAGAGAGAGTTGTCACTACTTCCTTCATCCTTTCATAAGGGACTACTTTTCTTTGAAGCCTGAACATAATGAAATGAAATCAGTCTTCATTCATCACTACAGTGATTTGGCTGTCACCCTTTACAAAACATTTTTGAGTAACAATTCTAAGTCTGCCATTGAAGATTACAGAGCTGAGAAGGACAACATCCGAGAGGCCATAGCGTGGTGTGGAGATGACCATCATGAGCTAGAGCAAACCTTAAGAGAGAAGTGCATCAATGCCTTTAATAAGGCTGCCGTGTTTCTTGCAAAGATGATGAGGAAGCAGGAATTTGAGTCGCTCTTTTGCAACCTTGCGCGTCGTTGCCGCTATGACATGCCTCTTTATAGTGCTTGCCTAACGCATATCGGAATGAAAATAGTTTTAGGCTGTACATGTTCACCCTTCATTTGTTCAAGAGCGTTGTATCGTGCTAAGAGTTTTCTGTCAAATGCGAATGACATCCAGTCAAAACATAATGACTCGAATGAAGGCAACCGGGCTCAGTGCTTGAGTAAGCTTGGGTTCTGTTGCGTTCGCGAGGGACGTGTTGAAGAAGGCTATGAGCTCCTGGAAAAAGCCTTAAAATTACGACGGGATAGAGCAGAGAAATCAAACAAAAGCAGAGACAAAGTCAAGCTGGCAGCCTGTTTCAACGATTTAGCAGGTTAATAGTTTTACAGACTTATACTTTTGAGAGTGGTAGAGCAAAAATTTCACCTTCCCCATATGTTTTCTACAACACCTTACGTTTCGAGAGGTATTGAAACTTTGCAGAAGCAAAGTATCACTGAGCTAAGCAGGGGATTGAACCTCGACGAGGAAAGATCGAGTTTCTTCAAATAACATTACTTGCAAGCTGAATGTTGTGGAAGCTGGGTCTGATTGGCAGCAGTTTCATTGCAACTCTAATTGGCCAAGTGTATACCATCTTAACGTAACGTAGATTCAGCAATGTGTCAATTTCCTGTTATTCTGTTTTTTTTTTTCTTTTCCCAGCTTCTCAAATGGTTCAAAGGAAACATTTGCTTTCAATTCAAACAAGACTCGCTTCTGTGCTTCCTGTTTATGAAGAGAACCTCGGAGATCACCCTGCTACGGCAACAACACTTAACTGGATTGGTAAGAGTTACTACGCTTTGGGTGATTACGACAACGCAATCAAATACAGCAGGAGATCAAACAACCTTCGACAGAAACTGTTAGGACCACACCAAGAAACTGCAAGGTCTCTTTATGATCTGGGGGAGGCGTTTAGCGCGAAGGGAGAGTATGAAACGTGAGTAATGATACTTTGTTTTTCATTATAAATTATAAAGCATTATAAAGGACCGATATCTTCTAAATATTTACTGCAACAAATAGGTGTAGCAACGGAAAGAGCTTAGATTTAGTTCGCTGTATCTTTTCTTAGTGCCCTCAATTACCTGAAAGAGGCAGTTAAATTGCAAGAGGAAGTGTTAGACACACACGACGAGCTGATTCACACTCATCAAACCATGTCAATTGTTTTGTGTCATCTTGGTAAAAAAAAGGAAGCCGAAGAAGAAATGAAAAAGGCAGAGGAGTGTGCGAAAAATTTGGATTCTTGGAAAGCCCCTTTAGAAAGACTTGAGAGCCGCGAAGAGAAAGGGTGGATGGCCGTTTCAAGCATTCCCGAAGCAGAGCCAAGAATTTCAAAATTCTGATTAATTACCTTCTGCCCATAGCGCACTGTATCAGTTATCATATTTTCAGTCGGTCGCTTTTTATCGAGCCGAAATGACTTCTTCGTTATACGAGGCAAAATTTCAACATAACTTTTGTAACTGTGTTCGCGAGACAAACCAAGCTAGACATGACATACATGTGTATGCACAAAAAAATCAATTAAAAAATCTGTGATAAAGATGAATTGTAAGAATTTTTATTACTGTCGTGGATTTTTATACCCACTGAGGGAAGGAATTCCCACCTGTAAATGGTTTAATTCCGCCATTGCGCTACTGTACCATGTAGAGGCAACGGAATGCGTAAAATATGCGACGGTAGGACACCGAAAACAAGGCAAAAATACGGACTGTCAGCGGAGCAACCAAATGGGCGCACTAACCGATCCTAAACTTGGATTCCCCCCCCCCCCCAACTTTTGAGCTTGACCTTTTTACCTTTTTAACAACGAACCTTAAGGCGGATCATATTTTCTCGTTATGCACAAGGCTTGAGAGGCAAATACATGTAGATAAGATCATTGATCCGTCACTAACGTTTGCTGTAATTTCCTTCTTTTGTACATCGTTTGTCACGGGATTCATGGTCAATGGTGAGCCTCAAGTCCTCAAGTTTACCTTTAGCAAACAAAACACAAAGCGTGACCAAGAAAGGAGTGGGGGAGGCTAAAGCTAAAATTTCTAGTCGCTTCTCGAATGCATCCGCTGGGCTCGTTGAAAACTGAGGAACTGGTTCTTATAACTGTGCGAGTCTTACTAAATTGCGAGATTAAGTATTATTTTTCATTTTTTATTTTTTATTAAATGCGTTTAACTGAGTCACCCTGGCCCCGTCAGTAGACTTAGAAGTGATAGAATTTGCACTCAAAAGGATCGCAGAGAAAGCTTTCTTAATAGTTACACCCGCCATTGATGATAGAGGTCTTTACAACTTCAAGATATTGTTTCGTCAGTCTGACTCACATCCATATCATTATCGCCTTTCTTACGTCTTCCTCGTTTGGAAGTTCTCTTGGAAACTTCCATCTTTTCACTCGTGTCCTCATGTTGTATATTTTCTTTTGATTCCTCCTCAACCTCCATTCCTGCACCAGTTTTAGAAACATGTTTTCTCCTCTGTTTTTTCTTTGTTTTCTGAACTTCCATTTTCTCTTCAATTACACAGTTCTCACTCGCTAACCTCTTTTCCTCATCGCCATCTCGTAACTCCTTGTTCGACTTCAGCAAAGTAAGTTTATTTACCGCAGGAACCCCTACCATGAAAGCATCAGGCACAGGGAGCCCCAATATTTCAGGAAGCATGTACGGTTTTAACCAGCCGACCAGAGGTGTTCTTCCACAAGTGTAATGCGTCCTCTTGTGAAAGAACAACAAACCATCGACCTAAAATCAATTAAATAGTTTTCAGGAACAAACAGTACCAATATAGCATGAGATTGAATAATGAGAGATCACCCTCCTTGTAGGTATCTTAATTAAAACTGTTCAAGTTAGCTTGTTAAGAGGATGTCATTTGAGATAAATTTAATAGTACCTAAGCAATAGGCCATTTTACAGTTGTGTACTTAGTTGCCAAGCCTTTGATTTGGAGTGAGGCTGAAGGTGACCTTGTTGTGATAGAGACCTGTATCTAGTTAGCATAATAACACAGTGACTTACATTTGAAAGGTAGCAATGTTTGTATCATAACAAGGTCACCCCCAGCCTCACTCCCATTAAAAGGCTTGGCAACTGAGCACACAACTGTAAAATGGACTGTTAACCACTCCACTTGTAACAGATATGTTAGGCCTTCTGAATATTTGTTCTATTACGAATGCTCTCTCCCTTTCTGTCAGTTATTTTGCAGAATTTGGCACCATATCAAGTAAAGAAACTTTAGGGTGATAAGTCTGGTCCCAAGGACATCTATTGTATTTTGAAGAGAAGTTATTTGTCCATCATGCACTGTTGTAGGATCAAGTTAAGAACACTAACACTGAGGAGAAAATTGCAAGTAATTTTTTCCAAGTTAAATTCATACTGTGAATGATGCCCAAACACTTAATTGACTACCTTGGGGCGACAAAGTTGTTGGTTAAACAATTTTGTGTCTTTTTTTTTGTCAATTTGCAATGAAAAGAAATCCAGTTAGGAATACACTAAGATACCACTTCTCGTCAGTTGTCTATTTTTCTTACCTCATTGACTGATGTGACACTGATCAAAGCCTCAGAAATGGAACTGGCATCACATGGATGATGATGCAAACTGATAAATCTGTACTGATGAATAATGAGCAGAAATGTGTTAAGATAATTTATATCTTCCCTAAAGAGAGCTTACATGAATCAAACTCAGGATTTCCCCCTTTACATTGTTTCCATCAGTTTTCAAAATATCAGCTTGTTTGTTTGTTTTATGATGCTTTTTTTCAAATATAAAATATTGTTTTTGAACAAATATGAATAAACTAATGAAAAATATAATTATGAGTATAACTTAGCAGTGGCATATGATCTTCCAAAAGGGACTTCATCCTCTAATTCTGGGTTAAAATGGAATTTGGAAAGTTGTTTTGGTGGAGAGAGAAAATCCAGTGAACATAAAAAAATCCTGGAGCAAGGAAAAAATCCAAAGCCAAACTCAACCCTCATGTAAAATCAGGTGTGGAATTGAAACTCATCACCATGCTGAGAGGCCATTACCCTTACAAAAGCGCCAATCTTCTTTTCCCAGAGTGTATGAACCCATAGGCTCTTCATATGACTTGATCATGTCATTAAAAAAAAAAAAAATTTTCAAAACTGTCATGAAATATTTCCTTCAGCATTACAGGGCTCAAATCTCCTTTTAATTCAAAACAGGCAATTTTGAGTCCTTAAGTGTCTAAGGGAAAGATTTAACAATAGTTTTGAAATTTTAGAATTTACAAGGATTTGCGTGGAAAACCATGTCAGCATGCATGACTGGGTGGCAAAAGTTATTTTTCTCAATACAAATACTTCTAACTTTCGGTGGCCGTTACAATCACTACTTTTGAGATGTACGGCTGAAAATTCTCAGGTTTCCCAATTTTAGTATGCTCTTTCAGCTTGCGCAAACAAAATTTTTCAAAAGTGAACTGTTTTTGTGTCTACCAAAAGTTGATCATGTGATCAAGTCACGCAAAGAACCCATTAATTACAATCCTCTTACTGGGTTGTCAGCCGACGCTTGTGTCACCAAAGGCTCTTCCTGAAGCTTTGTCTGCAGCCAGTAAAACCTAAAATCTGTCTGAAAGACAGGAAAATGAAAAAGAAAAGCAATGACATCCGTTTTGTCCACACACATTTCTTGATAGGTTATCAACAGCTTCCAAATCAGAGATCACAAAATGAAATACATATGATGGCTGTAAAAAATCACTAGGCAAGCCTCATCAGTAGTAGTGCAGACAGGCCTTGACACTAACTTTTCAACTTACTAGCCAAGTGGCTGGTGACACTGCAGATGTCAGTTACAACAATTTCAGTTAGTTAACTAGCCAAACTGGTGGGCTATTGTGGAAATAAAAAAGCATGAGCCAAAACTGACTTTCTACAAGTCTATGGCTAGTTGGCTACCGTTAGTGTAGTGTCAAGCCCTGGCAGAGCTACATATTTCTACTGTTATTAGGGGTTTTGCCGCCTTTTTTTTGTCAGTGGGCCCTGGGACCCACTCAGTCAGCTTGGTTTCCCAGGCCCGTTCAGTTCAGAGCTCATGTGTTGCATTTTTTAGTTTCAGTAGGTTTCACCTTAATTTATCACCTCAGTTTGTCAGTTTATCATTCATCGCAGCACCATTCATGTAAGTTTTCAACGTTCCGTTATTTTATTGTTTTTGCCTTGTCGTATTTCCTGTTTTCTGTTTTCGTTTCATCGTTTTCTGTATTTTATTTACATGTAGTTTCACCATTTGACACTAAAGGAAAATAAACCACTGATTTGTATACTCTTCGTGTTTCGGTTGAACACTACGCTAAGAACGCGACAACTGTACCTCGCTGTCATACACAGGATGACCTCTCCAGGTCATGACATCCAACACATGGAAAGTGTTTGTTAGTCCATTGAAGATACAGTCCAAGATGGTGTAATCTAAATTTTCAGGTGTAGAAATATATGTACACGTAGTTTTAGGTATCTTACATTGCGTACTCACTGTACAATTACCACATATACTTATAATGAAGATAACAATAAAAGCTCTAAATTTTTCAAATTAATTGAGGTTATACTAAGGGGACTCTTAAGCAAGGCAAAAAAAAGGAAAAGAAAATTAAAAGGTGAAAGTTATGGCCAGCCTTTACACCTTCATCTTATATTGAGAAGTTTAAAGCAAATAATAAGTAAATAAAGAATCTATGACAGCTGTATTACAATTTTGCAAATCATTCACTGGTCATTGTTCAGTAGTCTAAGTTGATAATCACTTTCATACCTCCAGGTTTGAGAGTTTTTGGACTTCCTCCAGGGAGTAATGAAGAAAACTTGTTCACCCTGTAGCCACTTTTAGTGTATGCAGCAGTATATCCCTATATTATTTTACAATAAATTATAAGGACATATTAAACAATTATAGGTCAAAATGAAGTTAGTAATACTTAATTGGAAAAAAGTCTCCCTGAACTTTACTTTGCATGCATGGTAGGCACTTTCTATGAACAGGTGTCAAATCCACACAATCAGTTGTGAACAACAAATTGGAAGCTACATGTACCTTGAGCCTCAAATAAACTTACACTTGCACATAGATTAGCAAGTGTTTGGGAGCATGTGGTGTACAGAACTAGGCTGTATATATTAACTTACATTTGCGGCAATGACAAGGTTCCTTTTGCCCACTGGACAAATAACCATCAACCACTCCCCCTTTAAATCATCAGGAATATCAACAAGCCACTCGGATAACATCAGCTAAAACAAAAAGAAGGAAAGAAGGGAGAAAAGAAAAAATCAATTTTCTGATCAAAGATTTTGATCCCAATCTATACCATGTAGTGAATAATAATTAGGCTGGCAGAGAAAAGAGATAATAAATGACTCTGTTAAGCTTTCACTTTACTATGAGCAAGGTAGAAAAAAAGTGTATTTAGATTGGTCTAGAAAACTGAATCACTTTTGTTTTCTGAACAAAATTAGATCTCCTCAAAGAGCAACAAAACAAACTTTATTCTTATTCTGATTACAGACATACATAATTAAAATTCTTATTACAAAAATACATGAATAAAATGGTTTGCCCCGCAAATAACTAAGAAGCTAGTCAGGAGCTACAAATTTTCAATCATAATATGAATACATTACTGAGTAAAACTGTAATGATAATTTTAAAGTGATCCAAACTTGAGACATGAATAAAATTATGAAATAGCCACACCTGATATGCATAAGGATTAAATTTCTTTTTACGACTTCTCCTGCTTTTCTTGTCACTCTCCTCAATAAACTCCATCTCCTACAGTATACGTCAACCATTAATTTCCAGAACTTGTAGTAAATGGCAGATATAACAATAATCAATCATAGCAAAGAAATGATGGGATGAAATGGATAAGTTCAAAATAAATAACGATTTTTTAAAAAGCATGTTTACCTCTGTCTCGACATCTTCAACTTCTAAACATCCTTCCACCAGTTTTCTTGCATAGTTGACATAGTCTCGCCTGTGTCTGAGGATACAAAATAGAACATTACATACAATATCAAGTACAACACAATGTGCTGAGTTACCACTAACAATTTCCAACAGCAATGACGTCAGTAAACTTAGAAATAAAGTGAAGATGCATGAAAAGAATAACTTATATAAGAAAAACATAATTATTTTATCACAGCATGTATAGGGCCTGATGTCATTAATTTTCCACATGGACAGAACATACTTTTTCTGCTCCTCCAACATTCTTTTCCTTCGTAAAAACTGATCTGGTGTGTTACTGGGCTTCATTTTATACTGTGTCATCCTGATGGCATGTAAACATAAGTCAGTGCTTAGTATTACAACATCCCCATTGTGGCAAAAAATACAGGGGCTTTTTCTTTAGCCGTAGCAGTAATAATATATATCATTCTATAGCTGCACAGTACCACAGTGTAAACATTGTAGTGGCTCAAAAGAATAATGATAAGTATACAATACTTTTAAAGTTGTCTTGCTCCAAATAGTTGCTATGGTCATTCTTTACTCATGAGTATTCTAGATAATCACAAATCTCATTGTTTAACCCCCTAACTCCCAGAAGTGATTTATAATTGAAACTTCACCCTATAATATCCATACACCATCCACCAAACAAATAAAGAAAATACTCAGACTTATCAGGTAGAGGTTGTTCTCTTGATCTAACACCAAATTCTTGTAAATAATTTACAACGAAATGTGTAGAAGTTAGAGGGGAGAGTCGACAATCAGATTTTGGGATTTAAAAGGTTAATGGAGCCACTAAGTCATTGCTTGCTTTCAATTAATTGGGGAAATCAAGGTCTACTCTTACATTTTGGGGGGATCTTTTTGGGTGTAGGGGGAGGGGGACTGGGGGGAACTCTGTACACATAAGTACCCTCGATTTCCAGAGCACATTTCTGTGCTGACAGATACATCTACTTAATACTCTTTCAACGCTATCACACATTAAAAGAGATATAAAGTGCACTTGTCTGAGAGAAGACCTGCGAGTGACGTCTTTGCAAGAGGGGCAAGATCTACACATACATGTGCACATCCGCGAGTTTTTCGACTCTCACTAAACCCCTTGGACGAACCTTAAAGTATTTCTGACGATGCACTACAACTGTGAGGGAACAGGAGACCCAGGTTGTACTGAAGTCTGGTTTACACTGACGATCTTACCTTGGATGGGGCGCTGAAGTGTCGTTTGGGTCAGAGGAAACTGTAAAACTGGCTGCGAATGATTCAGAAAGACCCTCCATTTTGAAACAAAAAGAAGCGAAGTTTAGCCGTTCAGTCCCGAAGAACCACAGGAATATTTAATTGTTCAATGCATAACTATCTCGCCTTTTCACAGACTAGACGATTTTAATCTCGAAATAATTGTTCAAAATTCTTCAATTTCCCTCCAATTTCCCCCACATTTCCCCCACATCTTCTAGTGAGCCCACGATTTACCAGCAGTTTGTAAGAGAAGTCCATAACACGTGACATTCATGTGACATGCGAACGCCTGGCGGAGTTTGAAAGAGGTGGAAGTGTCTTGAAGCGTGAACATCTGAAGAAATCCTTGTCTCGATCGTGTAAGGATTGCTAAAGACAAAATGGCCAGAGTCGTGTACTTATAGGAGACTCACTGAGCAAGTCTGTTAACTGGCTACACCATGGGATCGTTTGTTGATTACATGGGAGATCATGTTTGGGTACGTGTTAATGCATATCTTGTGCATTTCGAAGAACAAAAGTTCATGAATTGTACAAGGAAAAATTATAATGGATCAGCGTGTGAATGCAAGAATTTTTAATGGGAAAACTTTCAGGCAATTAAGAGCGCTTTTAAACTCAAATGATAGTATAACGATGAATCAACAACAATAACGTTAACGAGAAGTGCCTTTTCCACACTTTTTTTGCACGCGACCACAAATGTCATATACATGTAACAATACAAGAATTTATTAACCAAATGTGCTTCGAAGAGTACAAATAACATGCTAGACGAGTACAAAATATCACGCGATATTCGCCCGTGTTACACACTCAAATCAACCAGATAATGAAACACAAGGTTATATTTATTCCCAAAACTTCGAGCACATGCGTTTTTTCTCTTTTACCCGACACCCTTTTGGGTTCATGAACTCGACAAAACATGTCACGCACTCTACACCCGCACTGAAACAACAATTTGGCTTGTTGGATAATAAATCTCTTATTGGACGTTTTGTTGTGTAGTATCGCAGAGTATTTTTACGAGCTGTGCCATATTTTGCTGCAGCATATAATACAAATTGAAAAAGAAAAATAGAATTATGAAAGATCAAGAGTTGGAAACTCACTGTTTAACAAAGAACCAAGTTTTTTCAGAAAAATCCATTTTTTTTAAACAATCAAATAGGTCTATTTAATGTAAAATCAGGTGAAAAAGTTAGGGTTAGGGTTAACCTATTGACGTCTAGTGTGCCCGTAAGTGCCCATGTGGAACCACACCCTTTCTACACCTTGTGACATCATCACTTTTAATGCTGGAGCATGACTTTGAGCACGTACTTAAACAGGTTGAAAATATCTTACGAATGATACCAGAATGAGCGCAACTGAGTGAAGGAGATTGGTGAAATAGCCAAAAACCAGGTAACTTTGACCTGAAAATCTCCACGAAAATCTTGTTCCATGACCCACCTACCTTTCTGAGCATTTGATTTGAAAATAATGAGTAGTTTCCAAAAAAATCTTTACGCCAAAATGAAGCCTACTAAATTTGCAGCAAGTGAGGAGAAACTTCAGGCAAGGAAAGGGGGAAAAATTGCAGGAGAAAGAGAGAAAAGTAAAAGTCGTAAGTGGGGCAGTACTTTTCAACCCATCACGAAATTTTGCTTTCTGCGCCTGCCCGAGATTTTCAGGCCGCCATTTTGCATTTGGATCAAAAGGCCGTCGAGTGACAAGCTGTGAATGGGTTTGTGGTAAGTTTGAGCTTTTAAAACCACAACAGTGACCCGAAATCTGCTCGACTAGCTTCAAAATACAGTTTCTCATTAAAGCAACAGCTATTAATGGGTTAACTAAAACCAATGATGTGACTTTTAACAGCTGAAACAGCTAGGAATTTTTGTGTTGCTTTGATTGCAAGCAGTTATTTGATATTAAGAACATAATAATGTACCTAATATCATAAAATTTGTTTTCAAGGACATTGAGTGAATCCAGTGAGGAAAAATATTGCAGACTGTTCACTGATTGACTGAGTGTTGGTATAAATTTGTCTTTTTAGCTTCCAGTCCTGATTGCTATTGGCATTGCATTCTTGTTAATCATCATAGTCTGGATAATCTGTAAACGCTGGTTGGTTCTTTGATTGTTTCATTGTTTCATTGTTATTGCAATTTATTTTTATTGTTGTTAAAGTTATTGAATAGTTGTTAATACCTTTGTAAAGCACCAGGTAGGATATGGTTCTTATTAAACAGGGCTCCAAACTCACTTTTCTCTTAAGCGGCCATCTGGCTACCTTCAATCATAAATAAGTGGCCTGAATTAAAATTTTTAGGTGCCAGCAAAATTTTTATTGAGAAAGAAAACAAGAGGCACTTAAATTGTTTAATACATGTACTCCAAAATGTACTTGATGGCTGGCCAATTTACCAAGTATCCTGGGGCCTATAGCTAGCATACAAAGCAAAATCTTAAAGTGAAAGTCATGGAACATAAGAAAAATTTTATGAAAACTTTCTTATCCCTTTGACTTCAGACCATGAAAAATAACTTTGCAACTCAAACACAAGTTGTTATATTAGTGACCAATGCTGCACATGTAGTCACCAACATTTTTTAATCACTAATTTGGAGACCACAACAGTTACCACTTGAACAGCTGTTAAGAAATGTAGTTCTCAGCATAGTGAAAATTGATAAACACCTTAGGGCCAAAGGGCTAATCAAGGGCTCTTACTTGGGTCTAGGGCTCTAAACATCATCTTTAGAAACTCTTTATAGTGGCCAATTTATATTGTACAGCTGTACATGTATGTAAGAATCACATTCGTAGTGGACCGTGTAAGCATTGCTTAGCAATTTGAAATTTCAAAGAATTTTCATTAAAAACAGTGTATCTCAGAGTGTTGCATGTACTTCACACCACTCATGCTCAAAGGGGGAAAATTAGACCCATCTTCAAATATATAAGTCTGTAATATAATAGGCTAAATTTGGTGATCGAATAGTTCTTTTTTTTTGTATGGTTCTAGGAAATGGAATCGTTATGTGAGTCGGATTGGCATTGAAGAGGAAAGATCATTAATTGAGAAATGGGACGAAGAGAAAAGACTTCAGAAAAGTGTAGAAAGAGGTACAAGAACTGTGAAGAATTTATGAAACTAATTTGCAAATGATTAAGTTTGATGTGTGACAGTGCTTGAAAATCATGTTAACTCAGTCAATAATGTTAAATATTGTTAATTTTGTACTTTTTTGCATAGAAATAGGTCATAGGTTTAATTTGTATAACTGCAGTATGAAATGTTGATATGCAAAAGGTAGGGAACTATCTAACCTTGATGATTTCCTCTTCAATCCAAAAAGGCCAATGAGTTTTTAAACTTGATATTGCAGATGCAGTGTTGCTGAATTGCTACTACTATTTAAAGGATTCCAAAAAGTATAGTTTTATTGACCATTTACCAGATATGGGTAAGAAACAGGAGCCGAGTGTTCATTTCTGTAATTTAAAGTAAAAAACTGTTAGTACTATTATTTCACTTAACTCAGAAGAGATTATAAATGTGCAAAATTTTTGTCATCAGAATTTTGAAATATGTGCTGGACATGTACATTTCTGTAATGATAGTGATAAAAAGCATTTACTATAAGGTTATTTATGCCATGATAACATTACAGAGTAGCTGAACGATGTGGTCTTATCTAAGTCAAGTTTAAGAAGAAGCAGGAAATTACAGTCATAATTAAAACTAAAAATACATAATGGAGACAACAAATTTAATAAATTTAAATGTGTATTATTCAGAGGGAGTTTTTTTCAATTAATCATGTAAAATTTTTAAACAAGCTTTTCATTCTTGCTTCATTGTCAAGCTTGTTCCAGAGTACAGTGCTCATGTATTGGATAGCTATGAGGCTATGCCACTGGGGCTTTTATCACAGATGTGTGTGTTAGGGGTTTGTTCAGTCCAATACTTTCCTTAATCTGTCATAGATATAATCATTAAGAATATACTTATCTTGTGAATCAGCAGCTATGAATATACATGAAGGATTGTTCAGGATGGGGCAAGTATTCAACTATACCTATCCTTAACAATTACACAGGTAGCAGAGTAAATAAACAATGGTTCCTTGTAAAAGATAGTAAACAAGACATCAATGCTGTGTTGACGATGACACCCTGGAGCTCACAATCTGTGATTCCCTTTACCAAAGCCACAAAGAAAACTTTGAAAGAACTTTTCTCACTGTTGCAGGTTTGAATTTCCTTCAAATCAAGCTATGTATCTTTACAACTGGCAAAGCAAAGTTGTAATTATATAAATTTTTAACAGTTCATCTGTATTGCACTTTAATCTCAAGGTTTTCAATGGCAATAGGCCATTTCCAAATTCCAGGTGGTCTCTTTTTCAAAACTAGGCCTGGTGCTCAACACTTCTTGTGACAATGAATTTAACTTGCATTTGAATGAAAACGTATCATCTTATGACAGCTAGGATGAGCACCAGGAGTCACTTTGGAAAAGAGGCCAAGGGTAGTTCCGAAATGGGCTATTAAAATTCTAGGAAGTTTAATTTCCTTAATTTGCTGCAAAAAAACTTTGATCATTTTCAACAATGATACCTCATTTGTTTCCTAGTAGAAAACTCTTGGTCTACCCTAGAGAGCCATTTGTTACTTAAATGCTGGTAACAGTCAAGTACTTCTTTAAAGAATGGCCTCAGTACTGTAATTATGATAAACTCATGAAAATAATAGCGAAAATATATCTGTACTTATACTGTGCATATTTTAACTTGCATATGTGCACTTACACTTTACTGACATGTTTTTTTGATGCTACTTTCCTTTGCCAGTATCCTTACCTTTTTCCATTGATGAACATTGACTATATCTGTACTTATACTGTACATATTTTAACTTGTATATGTGCACTTACAGTTTACTGATATGTTTTTTTAATGCTACTTTCTTTTGCCAGTATCCCTACCTTTTTCCATTGATGAGCATTGACTTTGTATTTAGTCACAACCTTGTGATGTTCATCCATCCATACCGATCTGCTGGATCATTAAAAGATCTCATATATGGGGTATGTGAGTAGAGAGGCAGTGAAACTTTACAACCAAAATGCGCATATGTTGTTCAATGTTTATTTTGTTGATGTAACAAGTTTAATTTTAACCTTGGTATTATTATTAGAATTTGTGTGTCTTAAATTTTAAATGTTTGATATTTTAAAACTTCCCCACTCCTGATCTGTTAAAATATAAACCACGGCTTATTGAATTCAGTTTGTCGTTTCCTAGGTTTCAAATCATATTTGGTGATGATGATGATGAAACTTTATTAAGGTGTCTAAAGAAACCTCCTAGCTTAGGTTAGAAACCTGTGCTAATTAGGGGACACAACATAAATAAATATAAATTAAAGTAAAAGTATTTAAATATAAGCGTAAGTATAAATGATATCAATATTTACAGTATGACAAATGTATTTTTGAATTACAAAGATGACAGCACTTGCATCCATAATCCATTAGTATAACTAAATCTAATATACGTATTTTGTTTTTGAAACATTTTAAGATGGTAACTTCTCTCAAGTCTGGGGATAATTTTCCCCAGAGACTGGGCCCTAAATGGCGGAGGGAGTGCTTGCCATATGTTACTGTATTGTACCTGGCAGCGGAGAAATCAAACTGCCTTAGGTTATAGTTAGATCTATGCTTAATAAAAATGTCATTAATATAGGAGGGACATAGATTATCCTTGGCTTTATACATTAAAACACAAACGTCTTGGAAAGTTCCGCCGTCAGTTGACCTTAAGCCTTTGCTTTTCTCGTTATGCAAGCAGGAGAAGCTTAATCGAGCCGTAAGTTAGCCAAGGGAGTGGGGCAAAAGCAAGGAAGAAAAGCGATGAGCCAGGAGGGGACGAGGTAAAAAAGAAAGGAAAGTTTCCCTACCTTGTGCTCTTCCCTTTTTTTCCCTCACTCTCGCCTCATGCCCTTGCAGGACTGACAGTTTGCTCGTCGAGTTTCTTCCCCTTGGATAAAGGGAGACAGTGAGGCCCTGTACATAGGCTGCAGTTGACTTGAAAACATAAACCTGATTCGTAAAGAGGATAACTTAGTAGGAACGGAAAATTTTTCAATCCCGTCGTCATATCTGATAAAGAATGTAAACAGTGCTTTTCATAATGCGCTGGCTTGTTGATTTTGCCAGGTTTTTCCATGTTTAGTTTTGTAAACGCATTTATGCATCATCGTTGCTTAAAATTCTTTGCGTTACCTCCAGTCTCGTCCACAGTCATCTTGGGATGAAAAGTACCAAGTGAAGGGAAAAGCTCTTTCCCTTACGCAAATTCGTAATTTTGGGCGACAAGTCTTAGAGGTAAAATTCAAGCTGCCTTTTGTAAATCATAATAAAAGCAAAGTAATATGTACGTAAGGCTGTCGCAATATAGAGTATTTCCTACATGCCTACCAACTGCTTCCCAAGCTAGTTCGTATTTTTTGTGCATTCGTTTTCTTCTTTACTTTGTGTTCTTTCGTTCTCCTGTTGTTTATCCTTTTTTTTATTCTCTTCTTTATTTGTTCTTTTCGGTCTCAAGTTCATTCACTCGTGAATTTTTTCTTTCCTCGTTTCGCTCTTCTCTCACCAATGTGAAAAGGGGGTACGTTTCTAAAGAAACTGTGACGCAGCGTCCGTAGGGGGCGAAACTAGATCAAGATAGCTTGATCATTTGAATTGATAATGTAATTTGACCACCGTTAGGACTCTCAAAAGCTGATGTTTGGAGTGTTAGCCTTTTGTCAGGGCGAATGGCGAAGGGCTTTGACGAATGGCCAACGCTGGAAACGTCAGGTTTTAAAAGAAACTTCTTACGGTGGCTAATTTGCATTATCAATTCAGTCAATAAAATCAAATTATCAATATCTAATGTGGCCGCGCATGCAATACGCAATCTGCAGAGTGCCTTTTTGAGTTTGTTTGCTGAGGTTCTCAACTTCACCAGTTTCTTTGTTGTCTTTTAACTTGTGAACAGGCGCTGGTTTATCTGAGAGACAAGGGCCTCCCAAGATGTGGTCATGTTCACTCTGGAAATATCTTTGTAATCAATGGAACGGCTAAGTAAGTCAACTAAGATTCTTCGGAAGTACATAATGGCGTAAGCTCCAAACTAATTCCAGAAAAATCAGTCACAAACTTTCTCGCCTTCCATGGAACTAATGAATTATATTACAGAGGTCTTCCCTGCACTTTCAGGTTTTAACATGAATTACTTCTGCCGGTGTTTGATGGTATTGTACAATCCTTCCCTCATAGAGAAATTTCCTACAAGTACTGCAGCACTTCACCAGGCGGGATCACGTCTGTGTACTTAGCATCTGTTTGTTTATTGGTATCTTGAATGTTTTTACGTTTTGAAAGGAAACATTTACTGTGTACTATGTACAGACATAGTACATGTGTTAGAGTGGCACCTGTAATGAATCACCCTAAATTTTTTCGGTGAAGCAATATCAATCAAGCGACTTACTTGCCTAATTTCTGTTCGTAGGCTTTCTGGCTTTGAAAATTCTTTGTTTGGCTGGAAGTCAAGGCTTTATCCTACCATTAAAAAGCTTTTAAAAGACAAAGACGATGATATTGAAGTTATTCAGTTTGGTAAGGATGTAACTGATTTTAAAGATTCCAGTATACTCTAATCTATACTAAATTGTTGGCAGGCTCTCGTTGGCGTAGCGATACGATACGCGAAGATGGCGGTTTTCGAGTCGGCGAGCAATGCACATGCAAGAGATTCGAAAGGGTTCTCATTTTTTTCGCACCAGACCACTCACAGACCCCTCGCACGCACGCACGCTTCGCTCCTGGGCTCGAGTCTCGTCGTTTTCGCTGCTCGTTCTCAATGCATCGCCGATAAGAGCCTTCTTGTAGGCTGGATAGGTACGTGTTTTTCTGAGATTGCACTGAATTTACACGGATCTTCTCTGGGTCTTATTGGCTCCCTGTGAAGCTTCCTTTTTTTTCTGTTCGGCCGTTGTGGTTGCACGGTATTTGGTCTCACGACACTGGACAAGCAGGTACTCTCTTCAGTATATTACCTAGAGATCTTCGCCTCTAAAAACGCTATTACTCGTATCCTTCTTATACAGGACACCTGCTGTATGAAATGCTGGCGGGGTGGGAGTTGACCACAGCAGAACCAAGGAGAGAACAGCTGATAAACTTTAGAAATACCCCAGTTGTGGAGGTTTGTAATTTGAATTTGTGCAGCATGAGGTTAAAACTTTCACTGATGAGATGATTTTCAGTCTCTTGTAACGCTATGAATGGACGTTTGGAAAACTTAATGACGCCAATCGTTTAACCTTTTTGCAGGTTATAAATTTTATATTCTTTAATGAAAGTGAAATGTATCCAACCTTGGATGAGGTAAGTGTGAATCTTATTCTTTGGTGGTCTTCCATTGTTGATGCAGGCATGCAAAATGCGCTTTGAATTTCTGATTTTAATGTATGAGATCCTGTGCTACTGCTGATTTTTATACATATGGGAAAAAGGTTTCAAGTGATGGATGGTTTGGAAATATCTTTCACTAGAAAAGTTGCATATTCAGTTTTCAATACAATACAGTCTGTAGGCCTTTTAAATGGAGTTAAGTAAACTATACATAAGCAATCAGAATAGCTAATCGGGGGAAGGGTAAATAACGCAAGGAGCCAATAAGAACGCAAGTATATACTTGATTCAAAGATGCACCAAACACAGCCTTGGAATTCCATCCAATCACAGCTGAACATAACAACCTGAAGAAGACTAGCGGTATGCAGTGTAAACGTCGCGATTCGCGGCTTCCGAAGTGACCTCGTCGAGAGATAAACGATTACATTCTCTTTTAAATACATATTTCTGGCCTGAAGCGGGAAAGACGCAAGTGAGCCAGTCAGGGTTGGCTCGTTGTTTTGTTGCATCTTATTTCTTACGAGTGTGGTAAGAGATGGCTAAACCAATCAACGAAACGGTTTCCATTTTAACAAAAGCAATACAATAGCAGATTACTTTGAACACTAAATTGAAAAGCAGTTTTGTTGTCTTTTAGCTTGTAGCTCATTCACTCTTCAAGGGAGGTGATATCAGTGGACTTAAAAAGTTTAACCCCGGTCCAGTGAGTGGAATACTCTTCTCTTATCTTCCTCCTTTTGCGTGTCTGTCTAGTTCCCGTCTGTCTTTTTCTATTCATTGAAAGACATTTTTTTGGACTTTGGACGACATTGAAATACCTCGCGCTGTAAATTGATTTTTTTTCTTTGTTTAGGTCCGTTTTAGTTCAAATGTGAAACAACTCCTTAAAATATACAGCAATGACGACGAGGAAAGACCAAGGTATAACTGATATTCTTAAACAGTTTTGTGCTATTTTTATAAACTATATATAATTATTGAAATCCTCTCGAATTCCTATGGGAAATTAAAGTCTTTAGACACACAAGTTCATTAATCTTTCATTGTTACTTTTTTATTTGCTCCTTTATTCCTTAGTCCGTTCCATAGTTCTCGAGTTTCTTTTTTTCCCTCTATCAACCGCTTGCATCACACTTTACCTTAAAAAAAAATTAAATAAATAAATAAATTTTATCATGCAAAGTAAATGAACCCAGCAACTCGCTGTTTTGTTTGGTTTGCTTATATTTGACTTCTGTTTTTTTCTTTTCGTTTTAAAGGAAACGAAAAATGTCTTCGAGAAAATCAAAACTAGATGACGGCAAAGCAGTTAAGAAAGAGAAAAGCTCTTCCAAGTGAGTTACACAAAGTAATCCAGTTTAGATGACGCAAATGTCTTGCTGATAAACTTCAGGAGGGAAGCATCTTTAGTGTTTCAAGAGCATGCGTGACTGTCACGGCCCAGTTAACATTAAGTTTTAAGACTTCTTTATATGCGCAGTAGCTATATTTTTGCTGAAACATGTCGCACTGACTAAAGTAAAATTATCCTGCAACAAATTTAGGTGAAAACCTTCTTTGTCATTGTGCAACTTACTCTTATGATTAGTGCATCAGTACTGTGTTGTCTTACTGTCACAAAATAGCAAGTACATGAGACCATAGTGGATGCCAAATGGTAGAGGGTCCCTTCCAGCCGGATCTTATTCCTGTTCCGGGGGGAAGTCACTACTCCCCTGGATAGAATGTTCCTCCCCCCCGGATTTTTGTTCGGCTCCCCTGATAGTTTACCGGTACTCATTAATAATTCTGAGTGGAGAGTACTAGATGATTTCAGCTTATTTTCCCGCAAACAGTTCGTAATGACCGGCGAGGTCTTGCACCTGGAACCCTGGACCCGATGTCCAGCATGCTAATTGTAAGACCGCCCACCTTAAAGAGGCTGGAGTCAGGACTGTGAAATTATAGTGGGAGCAAGCCTTGCGTTGTGTCCTATACGAATAGAGGGAACTCGTTCCTGCCCTGTGCACCACGTGCGCTTGATGATAGATGAAGAAAAATATTAATCCCTCCCACATCCCACATTCAAATCCCTCCGTAATTATTGTTCTTCTATTTCCAGATCAAAAGCTAAACGTGCGTCTGTTGACGAAAAAAGTGTTCCGCCCGTTCAGTTCATGGCGACCTATCCGCCGAAACCACCTCCGCCTCCCATCCCTAGAGAAGTACCACCCCCTCCTCAGTTAAAACGTCCACCAGTGTCTGTAGAAAAAGTTGCGCCACGACCTCCAAGCAGCTCTGGCCGAGGAGCACTCTTGAGTCAAATTCAAAGAGGTTCAAGGCTAAAAGCAACCAAAACGAACGACAGAAGCGCCCCGCGAGTGTGAACAGCAGCTGCTGATTTTAGTCGATTATTGAATGATGCAGGACATTAGTTAATCCTGTGTGTGACATTGATGCCACCGCTTTGCAGAGGACGTAAAAATAAGTGCAAGGTCTGTTTGTGCAGGAGATGAAAGTGAGAGACAAGTTTTCTGAAATAAGCTCAATTTGTTGATGTACTTTTGACGTGTCGAAGTTCAAACTGGCAATCGTAGCTAAAATGAAACTTTTCCGTTTTGAATTTGTGATTTTTTTCAAAAGATGCTCTGAATAGAGCTATTTTAAATGCCATCATCATCATCGCCATTTTATCTTTTTTTTTTTTTAAATATTAGTTTAGTCATCCGTTCTGAATTTCTAAAGATTATGGAGAAATCTCAAGTTCCGGCTCGGACAGCTGATCTCAAAAATGGCAGCAGTGAGAACTCATTATTACTCATTAGTAATGGAAATTACAAAAAAAATTATTTCAATTGCCAAGCAAATCAAAATTAATATATGATTTCAAATTACAAAATTTTTATTTTACGGTCACGTAAAGAGACCAATGAAAATAGAGAATGTGCGTTGGGTAAATTTGTTTGTTTCAAAAGCCATGTGGGATCGTATTTCAGGTGGCATGTAGCAGATTGCTCGTCCAAACACAGGTTTCCTTCCGGTGAGAGGAGAAAAATGTCCATAGTACGTGTATCGTTTTTAATGCGTCCCAATATTGCGATCATTACGTCAGGCTCTGTGCAGTTGCTACAGTGTCAGCGATCCTACAAGTTTTTAAACCGGTAAAAGACTCAACAAAGCCAGAGTTTGTTCACTTGTTCCATTTTATGATTGTGTGCTGAAGTGCTTTTTCTCCTTCAGCGCCTGAAAGGTCTGTCTCTTCAGAAAATGAAATCTCCAAGTAGAGTTAGATCTTTTTTAGCACGTCACGCAAGGAGTGTCCGCGTGACAAGGCTCAACAACAGCTACATGAAGACTAGCCGGATAGTGTTTACTCACTAAATTTACTTCTTTTGTATTCTATTGCAATCAATCCTTGTTTTTAACTTTGCGAGGAAACTTAGGCAATAACAATGAAATAAGTTCTTTTTTAGATAGAGAAAGAGAGTAGATTGTCAGTGTTTTTGTTAGTTAATGTGATGTTATAGAAGATATTTATTTGCTCAGTTTGAAAGCTTCTAATCGCTTTTTAATTGACTAAAGGCTAAAGATAAATTATAAGTACTTTATGCAATATATCGTCATTAATACATGACGTAATCATTTACAAGGAAAAGGGCATTCAATGCATTGCTACTGCTCGCATTGTTTTTCAAGTCATTCGCTCTCCTTGTAAAGAAGGATCTTTTGCACTTATTTTTTGTAATTATTTTTCGAAAGGAAAAATGAAAGAAATTTTGGATTTTTAAACATATAGTGTTCATTTATTTTTATAAGCTTTCTTCAAAACATCAGTTTTCACAATTTCTTCGATATGCAACAGGATGACTTTGAAGCAGAAATAAAACTCATCATTGAATGTCTTCTGTACTGTAATAAAATTGCAAAAAAATTAATAAATGAAATGTTTGTCTGTTGCTTGATATCCTACGTCACGAAAGTACCAGAAAATTTTAACCATTTAACCCCAAGAAGTGATAAACATGTAACTTCTCCCTATAACATCCAAATATTATTTAGCAAATAGGCAATGAGAATATTCAAACTTATTACATGACTCGGGCAGTCAGAGAGCCAATAACTAAAATCAACCAATCAATATGCTCAATTGCCGGTCAATATTCTCTCAGTATTGGACTAGCCACTGTTCCGAATGGTCCTGAACGATACCGCACTTGTGTCCCTTTGAAATTCAGTCGTATAATAAATCGCTTATTAACCAAGCTTGCTCGGGACCGTACTGGAAGAATATCGGCCTTCGGTCTTTTTTGTACGGACCTCGCTGCGCTCGGTCCGTGCTGTCAAGACCTCGGGCCGATATTCTCCCAGTACGGCCCTCGCGCTTGGTTAGTAAGATATATTTATCAAATAGAAGTTGTTATCGTGATCTAACATCGAATTCTTGTGACGAATTTACATGAAGCAGCTGGAGGGGAGAATTAACTATTAGATCCTAAGAATGAAAGGGTTCACAAAACAGTCACAACATTTTCCAAGATAAAAAGAAAGGGAAACGTCTTCCAGCTCTGAATGAGCATGTTAGTCCCACGAAATTCGAGAGGGCCCCTTAAACTAATTTTGAAGAATGGCAAAATGAATTTTAAAAAGGAATCAAAGGTAAAACCGTACGGGAAAGATTTCACTCGTAGGGTATTCATTACGCACGTCAGTGTTATTGTTAATTATTTTACGACTGTCCTGAGCTTAAGGATCAACTAGAGAATATGTATTCGACATGATGATGATTATTTTGTCTCATTTAACACGTAACAGTTCACCAACATAGAGTAGAAGGAAGAAGCTGTCCGACCACTGCTTTCTCATGGATCAGTAACCACACTAATATAATTTGAATGAAACAAAAACAGACAAGTATAGAGAATGGAGAGCAGAAATGATAAGCCTGGCAGAATTTTGTTTTCTATCTCTTAAATGTCTTTTTGCGAAACGTTTCTAGTTAAACGTGTCTAGCAGGTTGAAATGGCTAAAACAAAAAGCCGTAGCTCATTTTTTTTAAATCTCGTTGATTGACATCTTCAATTCTTTTTACCCAATGTAAATCTGATCCCTTTAAAACATTTAAGATAAAAGGATCCCACTAGAGTGCTTATCTCCTCTAGACGCGAAAATCAACCAGTGTATTATCATCTGTCAAAAAAATGTAAATACGGTATATCCTTTTAAAACATGAATATTCGACTGAATTTAAATTTCCGGAAGCACATCTGGCTCGCGCTGTCTAAAGCGACAGCCTCTCAAAAACATTAAAAGGAATTGCGCTTCGAGAGGGCATTTTGAGAGAGCTTCAATCAAAGCATCGGCTCATGGTAGAAATGCTACCAGTTCTCGTCTTGTTGTTTGTGGTGCTCGCTTAGACTTAATTTTTCGTCCTCTTCCTGGTGAAAAGGAGAAGAAGAAGAGGAAAGGAAAAGACTTAAAATGTTTCTGGTGGTATTTACGCGTTTTGGACATCTACACCATGACGTTGGAGTGCTATTTTTAATTATCTCGAGTCAATTCGTGATTTCGTTTACAACCTCGTCAACGTCCTCTCCGAAAACCACAAACACTGCAGAGATTTTATCCAGAAAAACGACCAGACATGCCTCCAGCGCCCAACAAAGCCAACCAGCAAACAATTCACAAATATTTAGTTCAACGACGACAATTTTTCTGACAACAGCGACAGAAAATCAGAGTTCCGTGAGTGAAAGTTTAGTCAAGAGACGTCGATGTTCCCGTGAACGTAACGAGGACTGTCCTAAATTTGTCGATAGATATTCGTCATTTTATCTGAAGGTGGGTCCAAAAAATGCGAAATTAAATTGTGTGGTTTTTAGATCTGAAATACCTTGTATATCATGCAATTAGCGCGCGGCTTGACATATTATTTAGAAAATATCAAAAACAGTTCATGAAGTTTAGCGTATTCATATATTCAATTCATGGTGCTCTCTTTGATAATCATTACAAGATTCTATCGAAGAGGAGTTTGAAAAATATTCAGATACTAATAATGCGTATAAACATCATCTATCCACAAACCTCAGGGGAAAGCTCAAGCATAGATACGAAAAAAGGTTTGTTCGGTTTGGGTGGGTGTCTTGAATACTGAAATTGCATTAGGACTTAGCCATAGAAGTTAATAACTTTTTTCTTCTCAATATTAAACGACTTACAGAGTGAATCATGGATATAAATGTATTTATTTTAATAGATTATTTTCAAAAAAGGAGTTTTCTATTCCATTTTCATCCTCTCATTACGCTAAAAATGTCTGTTTTTCTTCAAAGTTGGCTGGAAGAAGTTATTGTTTACGAATATTTTCAATTATTAACTGAACAAAATTATCTGGCCTTTCGGAGGGGCAGCTCTTTCTTCGAATCAAATGAAATGAAATTAGAAGTCGGATACGAATATTTTTGAAAGACCCAATGATTCGGCATTGTTAAAAAAAATACACAGTTTAGTTGGCAACCTTAGATTGGGTTTCTTTTTGAGTGGAAGAGAATTTAAATCAGCTTTCCTTCCCCTAGTGTTTATTCCTGTTCATGTGTTTTATTGTGCATAATCAATTTAAAACTCAAAAACTTGTTTTGACTAAAGCTTCTAAATCTTGATTTATTCCACTTTGAAATAACCCTCGGGGACAAAATCAAAACTTTGAAAATGAAACCACAGCTCCCGTTGAACTTGCGGCCTATGGTTCGCTCAAAAAAACTTGAGCAATAATTGCGGCTTTTGTGAACAACAGAGAAACAACTCTATACAGAGCTGAAACATTCGACAAAACAGCAGATGCGACAAAGCATTTATAAGGAAACCGCATCGGACATCACAAATTGCAATCCATTATATTCGAAAAAAATTTCCTAAATACTTCTAAAATCTAATTCAAAAGGCAACATTACTCTGAGAAGTCTTTAAAGCTCAGCACGTGCTTTTTTGATTGAAGCAAGTGAATTATGCGTAAAAAAATTCGACTCAGTTGCACGTTTTATTCGGCTATACTAGTATGAATGATAAATTTCTTAAACTGGAATAGTGCAAAACTGAAGATGGCTCCCTGTGATGTTTTCTTTTGTTCCTATCGGCTGTTATAATTGCTATAATGTAATTTTCACGTAAGTGAATCGAGCAAACTCGGTGTCCAAAATGCTGGGGGCTGTGTTTGAATGTTACTGATGCCCTCACTTTTAAGTTTGATCCAAGTTTGTATTGGTTGACAGATTGGAGGCTGGTTAATGCTGGGTATCGTTTTGGCGGGAATCACGGCGCTCGGTGTCACGCACTTCTTGGGGATGAGAACAATGCACAGACCAAGGAGAAGAGAACTGTCACGCATTTTGTGGGTTGAAGCTCGTACAAAGTCTAAACTGGCCAGATTTGTTTGACAGAAGTATCTGGCATCGTGCAAAAAATTAATTAAGACAAATTGCCCAGTCCATCCGAAAGCCTGAGATGCAGACATTAAAGAGAAAGAGCTACCGGTTGTTACCATTGTAACTCCATACAAGTGGACAATAGTCCTTTTTACAGTTGTGGGCTTGGTGGTCAAGCCTTTGAACAGAAGTGAGGCTAAGGGTGACCCTGTTGTGATAGAGACCTGTATCTAGTTAGCACGATAACAAAGAAATTTGAATTTGAAAAGCAGCAACATCTCTATCATAACAAGGTCACCCTTAGCCTCACTCCTGTTCAAAGGCTTGGCTACCAAGCCCACAACTGTAAAAAGGACTATTGAGAAAAGAAATATCTTATTCAATTGTACGTGTAGACTGAATGGAACCCTAAGACAGAGTTTCAAAGTGATTTAAAGACTTTTGAAGAGTTTCACCATCAATGGAGAACATGTTATGCAATCTTCAAGATGAGAAAAAAAATAGATATTTTTCGGTTCTTTTCCGAGGTTTATAAAGTTGCAGCTTACTTGCAAGGATCATGGTTTAAACAGATAAGAGGCGCACTGCTTTCTTTACCTATTAATAGCATGTGCTGACCATTATTAGAGAAATATGTCAACCTAAATGTGTCATCAAAATTTGGAATCAATGCGACTTTTAAGAGCCAACGGAATTCAAGGAAAGATACTAGAACGAAACAAGTTCATGGAGAGCAAATAAATAGAGGTGCATCTTATCAAGAGTTTACAGGAGAATGGTCGAAACTGTAACTTTTATGTTTTACAAAAGGTGAAAATTCTCATTATCATGACTGTTAGCACTGAGGCGAGGGTTGATAAAAGAAGTGTACAAAAGAATATTTGTTTTTTGGTTAAACTTTAAAGACAGCGCGTACCTCTGCATTAATATTGTAAAAAGATTGTGGTTATTCATCGCGGTGAAAACCAACAATTACTGATGATAAAATTTTATGGTTTGTCTCAAAATGTTGCCATTTTTGTCATGTGGATCGCGACTTATCGACTACGTACGGACTGAAGAAAACCAACAGCTTTATGGTCAGTGGGTACCTCTCGCGAGACATGCGTGAAACAAAGTCTAACACTTCCATGTTAGAAAGTACATTACTCTCAAGCTCAGGTTTGGACATAAGGAAAGTAAGTGTCTCCTTTGAAAGACCTACTCCTTGAGAAGACAAAGGAGCAGCAGACTAGTTTAAGGACTTGTTCGATTTTCCCTTACTCTCATCGATCTACGAGACTTTTGTTAAGCCATTCATCGAATGGGCTACCATCGATCAACAATAAACAACGGCTAAAGTTTCTTTAAATAACCGGCCCTTTAAGTTTGGTTTCGTTTGGTCCAGGATTAAAAGTTGTCCTTGAATTCTCTTGAAATGGAGCGTATATTGAGGGGATTACCTTAGCGCAAGAGGAAATTGAAGGAAAAAATATGAACAATTAAAACTGTCTGCAAACCTGCAAAACTAAATCAGAAATCGTTGGCTAACCCTCACTTAGCTCAATCGTGCTTTGAACGAAGCAGTCGACTTGCCTCTCCAGCTCAACTTAAGAAATGTAGCAAAATATTTACAACAATCTTGACTAGTAATTAAAAAGACTGCACTTGCTCTTCCCTTGCGACCTCTTCCCACTTGCTCTTCCCTATGGCTTTTTGCCCTTTCCCTCTAAGGAGTCAGGCTTTGGCACAACGGGAGCTGCATCAGCTGATCCAACCCCTGATAGGATTGGATCATGCTCCAGATCACTGGCCATTTCCCAGTCGTTCTTAGGATCATCCAGATACTCCTCTGGTTCCTCGATTTTCTTCACTCGGTTGTTTATCTTCTCTCTGAAGTATTTTACGTATGAAATTTCATTTTTCATCATGTTTTCGCAAAGTTTTCTCTTCCTCTTAGGAACGTTTTTCTTGAGAGAATAGCCCTTCACGTAAACTCCAGTGTACGCCTCGTCCAAGAAGTTTCCCTTTTGCAAACAAGCTCTTGTCAAAGCTTCGTTTCTATGTCTAAAAATCTTGAGTTCTTTTTGAAAACTTGGTCCCTGAGCCTTGACGTTTTTCCAGAACGTTCTATTAAAATGCTTATACAGCATAAAATCTGCCTTGTTCCAGCTTTTTATATCCTCGCTAACTTCCTTGTTTATAACCTTCTGCTTCTGCTTATCTTGCCGCTCGTTCAACTTGAAGTACAAAATATCCTTCAACTCCCAGCATAAGAGACGTTTTAGAAGCAACAGGGACTCATCGAAATGCTCTAGAATCATAACCAGATCAAATTCTTTGTCCAAGAAATTTATGTATCGTTCAACCGCCGTCACATTTTGGAAGTATCGAAAGTCCAAACCAAGATCGAAAAGCATCGGGTTGCGTACTAAATTGAGGGCCAAGGTTGTTTTCATCAAAGGTTTTATCTCTTGAAACGGTGGTGGAAACTTTAAAAACGTACCCAGAGGATCTTCTTCGTCTTTAAAACCCAACGGCTTCGCAAAATGCATGAAGTTGAACACAGATTCGTATTGGGTGACCGGGTCCCTGAGTATTGTTATGTAGCGACTGCTCTCCTTTGGAAATAAATAATTCATTGGCCTTTTGTTGAACCTCGCGTGATTGCAGAGAATATTTGCCCCAAAATTGTACAGAGGTGCACTGTATGAGACGCGAAATCTTGCTGGCCACAAGAAGGTGAAAAGCTGCTTCTGCCTTGGTAGCACAAAAGTCAAGTTATTCTTGTCTCCATATCGATTAAGAATATTTGTGATGGTGCTACTACCAGTTTTGTGAGTTTTAAGAAAGAGAACGTGATTTATCGGGGAGCAGGTTTGCTTTTTGTGATGTTTTGGAAGCTTTTGATTCTTAGAGCTCGGATGGTTCTCTGGTTGTGATGATATGTTTACAAACTGATATTCTGTTTGGTCTGCTTTCGGTTCTTCAGCCAATCGAATGTCAGCTCTTTTGAGCTGCAAATTCCTTGTGTATATTACCCTGTTTCAAGAAATCAAATTATATGCGTCATTTATCGGTTGTGTAGTTCGTGTAGTTCACCCCTAGCTAGTAAATCCTAATTAGAGTGCTTTATTGCCTATTCAGCCTTTCTTTATGCAGACACAACCTGTTCTATCCATGGCAATAATTTCATTTTCTAAGCTAAGAATAACATCGAGTTTTTACAGGAGAGAATAACTCTAAGCAAATACAACCCTGTGTAAACCCTGTTCAAACGACCCGAGAAAAATATCTGCTATTTTTAAATCACCTGCAGCTCGATAGGATGTCTATTCATTCAAAACGTAAACATCGAAAGCCATGTTCGTGCCTTTATCCAAGAAATATAAATTCCTCATTCTACACAATAAAATTTAGAATAATATAATTGTGAAATGTGTTAACCATTCTTTCCGAAAACCGAGGAAATTTGAAATTTAAGTTTAATCTAAACTGTCCTCGTGTGTAAACATTGACTTCATTTTAGGCAATAGTCTAGGAGGTTTGAGAAGTTTAAACACTGATTTATTTTCATCAAATGAGATTGAAATAGCTGTGGTTCTGCGGTATCTTTATAAATTCGGAGACAATTGATTAAACGAATTGGTCCTCTAACACGTTGTTTTCTGAATTTCTATTTAATGTAACAGCGTTTAAAATGGCTTTGGAGGCCGGGTCGAAATTGCTGGAAGGCTACTATCCGACATTGAAAAAAAAAACGCTCAAATGAGGACAAGAGAACAACTAATAAAGCTTTGAAAGTGCAGCTGTACTATAAATCTGGAGCAAAGATTAACACCTGCAAGGATTTGAAAATATTATTGACTTTCCTGTCGTTTGAATAAAGGAGGGCAGAATTTTTTTTATCTGGAGAAATGCCTTTATTTTTATCAAGATATGTACGAGATCTTTTATTACTTACTTGTGTTCTACGGTAGGACAACGAGCTGTTGACGGCAGATTGTTCACTCCATAAAAAACGATGCATATCAATGAAATTACGGAAACACAACCGAAGAGGGTCTTTATATGAAACGCCATCATCAGGTTCGTCACCGATGAATTCACATTTCATGTTTTCATGTTTGTCTTTGGCAACCCAGTTCTTTAGACTTGTCAATTCACGCGTGCATCGACTTAAATCGCTTTGTGGCCACTTTCCCCTTCCAAAGGAAGACAAAATCTCTTTGTTTATTCCATGTGTGAATGAATGAGGCTGCGTGTTTTCAACTGTCTCCGATTAATCATTTATGGTATATGGCCATCCTTTTGTCCATAGCATCCGCTTTATAGATCGAGTCGACCACACACTTTGCCTTAGTGATCCCAAATCTTAATATTTTAAGATATCCATTTCATAGTATTTCCAGTGTTAACCTCTCATCAAAATAACTAAAACCTCAAAGGCAGGAAGAAAAAATTGGTAATTTATGTAAAGAAGACTCGATCAACAGCAGGTTGCTCCGAGTGCTTGTAATTCAAAACGCGTTAAGTTGGAGCATGTGACCACCTAAAGGAGCTCGGGCCTAATTACATTCTAAAACTGCCAAGAGCAGAGTACTTTTGTAAATTAAGGGTTTTGACGTTGAGTTGATATATCTAACCTCTCTAACTGATGCCAAAAGAAAAGGAGAATTTCTGTCCACCATTTAACCTCGAAGTAAGCTTGTATTCAATGTGGCGTGGCGATGGAAGAGATCTATAAATTAAATGCAATCAGATTTGAAGTCATTTGAAATGCTCATGACGCCATGTCAAGAGAAGATAATGATACAGAGAAGGACGTTTCTGATCCAGGCCGTGAGACATATTAGTTTCACTGAAATCATTGATTTAAATGAGATGTATTTTCTGAGTAGTCCGCATCAAATGTAACATCCATTTTAATCTTCTGCAGTAAGTACTATTCCGTTCTAACAGTTGTGAAGAAACTCGTGGTTGGTATGGGTTAACTTTTCATATGTAATCATTTCCGATTTCTTCGAGTTCATTGAAGGTCTTTTGCCACAGTAGTTGGAATACTCAACTCATGCAATTTGCTTTGTTACTTGCCTTCATTGAACACCTGCATAACGGTACTTTTGTTGACCAATCCCGATTGTGGCTAAATATAAGTATTGATGGTCTCTCTAGAACATTGTTTTTCATCGTAGTTGGCAGCTGAGTTTGTGCTCGTAATTTCATTTTTCTTTCATAGGATCAACATCTCGTAGATAAGTAGAATTTTTAATTACTTCTCGATTTTGTTTTCTATGCTGCTCTAGCCCTTCCGTAATTGAGATAAGTATTTTTTATTTCAAAGCTGTCAGTTTAATCTCCGTTTTCTTAGTTGGAATATTCAAGGTGGAATCTCTTAACTTCACAGAGAAACTTTCCGCTCTTTTGTGTCCTTATTCATATATTGCAATTTGTGTTCTGATAAACCCACACCCATTTGTACCTACGGCTGAGTTATGAACACGTTGGAGTCTGGAGATATCTTTTTTCGGGAGACCGTACAAGAGACTCTTGCTGTACAATAGTCCAATTTAGATGACACAAAGGCGTGTACCATTTTTTCCGTGCTCGATTGATCGGGACAATGCCAAATATTCCCTTCTTGTTATCTGTCTACAGCGTCAACCTTAGCTAAAACAAATGTTGCGGGCTCTGAAATTAAAACATGCACCTTTGTGGGTCAGACTCTCGGATTCCGGGCTCTGTTGCTCTACACCATTGACATACTCTTTGTTGAGCAAAGTCATAACGAAATTCAAGCATAACACGCATCCTGCATACTGCTAGGATCAGCAATGTCGGTAGCACCCTCAGGCGAGCGGGGGCGAACACGAGGCAAACGCGAGGCGAGCGTGAAGCGTGGATTACGCGCGAGGTAAGCTTCGGATAACATGAAAAACCTGAAACAACAAGAGGAAAATTTATCTTGATTTGAGAGCGTCGCCTTATTACTTTAAGTTAGTTCTTAGTCCTTTAGCGTCCTGAAATTAAAGGTTGCAATGAAGAATTAATATAACAAGAACAAAACATTATCAATTATACAATCGAACCTGTACAAGCGGTAGGGCGCTAAATAAAGGTTCCACAGAATAGGGGTATTGTGAAAAACGGTAAAAAACGCCATTTTGTGCCTTAAGTGAAAACTTAACTATTTGAAAGCTTTTTTTCTTAGTATTATTTGAGTGGTCCCGCTTTGTGTGACCGTTCAATACAGGTGGAAGGCGATACAAACAGGCCGTCAGGACACAGAAAGGGTGACTAGGACCGCTTAATCAAGGAAGCCGCTTAAATTACAGTGTTTAAGGGGTAAATAATCAAGGCCTCTGACAACTGACCGCTTAATACAGGTTGACCGCTATATACGGTGCTGCTTGATACAGGTTTGGCTGTATTGTGTTTTCCACTCTGTTTTGCAGAATACTTGTCAGTCAAAGACTTCCATAAATGGATTCAAATGATTAAGCCCTTTGATTGGATGGGACCGGTTTAATTTTGGTTGTATGTGGTGCAAACAATGTAACTAGGAGGTAAACATTAATTTCACGCTTGGAACAATCGAAAACTGCTTTTGTGATTAAAAAAAATGTTTTTTTAAAATAATGATAATGAAATGAGGTGATAAAATTAGGAAAAAGTGAAGGTTTTTGCCCTTTTTTTTTAGCAAAGCAAAGATAAATTAATAAAACAAACTTCACGATTGTTTTCATAATCAGTCAAGAAACCCTGGAAAACGATATATTTCAGCTGCAACTCAAAGCAGACAGTACGTGGAATATTAAACAATGTTAATTTAAGAATTTAAAAGTAAGTTTCAAAATGCAAATGAATCTTGGAAAAGTTAGCAGCCACAAACAGCTGCAACGATAATGAAAGTCGTCCTGAATAATCAAATTACCTTTGGTCAGTGTAAACCGCTAGGTGACTGAAGAACTGGCAAAGAACACACCACAGTGAAAGTAGAATGCTTTCTTCGCAAAATCACTTCTTACGCATAAAATTCATACTACTGTTGTCTGTATATTTTGGAAGTCTGTATTGTGGATTGATTGATGCGAAAGAAAACCAAGTGAAAAAATCTACTGCTGTTGCTGCGATTAAAACGTCATTAACTATGAAGATTGAACCTTCTATGAAGATGGCCCGATTTCGAGAGAACCATGCAACTAAGACATTAGCGGCAAGCTTGGAATTCATGTCAATTTATTCCACATCCAAAGTGTCAACAGGACAAGAAACAAGGAATCTAGAAAAGTCAAGTTTTTCTGAAGCCGTAATGCGACAGTCACGTATAACAAAACCCTGGCGCAGTTCTACTTCCCTAAGCAGCAATGCATTGACTTCGCGAGTCAATTCAGATCTACCGCATGCTAAAACGTCCATAAATTTCTTGCCGAAACTTCCATTTTCTGTTGTTCCATTTTTACCGAATCGGACAAATCATTTTCAGTTGAATTCGACCGCCGCTCCAACAACGCCGAGCTACGATGAAAATGGAGACTGTTCCTCGGAAAAAACGGTTGAGAAATCATGCGACACTTATGTAACCAAATGGGTCAACTTTTACGTGAATGTAAGTATTTCTAAATGTTTCAGAACTGAAATGCTATGAATTATAGTTATTTGTGATGTATTTTAATCCTTCTGGCCTTTAAATATGATGTTCTCATATACATGGGTAGAATGAAGCAAAAAGATGCCGAAAACATTACTTAGAATTCAAAATATCATTAGTTTTCGTAGAACAATTATCAATTTAATTACGATTATCATTAAAGGGTGATAACTAGTGTTATCGGATGAGAAAAACGACTTGTGTACATCTAATTTGGCGCTCTACTGAGCCATGATATCAATAGCCACACGCATATTCAAAGAAAAACTGAATATTAAGTGCCTACCCTAGTTGACGACAGCTTTGTAATAATCAAGCGAATCAAATTATTTCGACGGTTAGCAGATCTTACGATGAATTATAAATCATACTTATATTTGAATGCAACACACGTCCGTGATATTGCTAACTACAACGTACGTGGGAAGACGGCTCGATCAAAGTCAACTTAATTTCGATCAGGAGCAAGAAATTCAAAAATAGTAACCTGAACTGTGAAAAGGGAAACAGCAAAAAAAAAAAAAACAGCCATTGCGAAGGAACCTAGGATACGAAAAGAGCTTTTACTAAAAATTCAATGGCAGACCGAAAAAATACATAATCATTTAAGCGCTAAACAGGCATGCTTTGAACACCTGCCTCCTCAGTTACTTGCAAGGCGCGATAATGACCCTTAATGGACGTTGATCGAGCGTTTAGTCCATGAACTCGAGGAGATAAAAGTAAAATCAATTTCGAGAATATTAAAAAGAACATGACTCGACTCTTAAAAGGGAAAAATTGCATTCACCAGGAACATCTGCGATGATAATTTTCAATTGCAAGGTAACTATCAGTGTCTAAGTGACCATGGTGACAGACCACGGTTCTTGCATTTTTATATTGTTTCAGTTCTGCGTACATTATTTAAGACGTCCGCAGATTAAAACCGTCATCAAAAGTCCATTACTGCAGTTACAACGCAGACCTTCATAATTCAAACGTAGATCATAATTAGTCACTCATGTTGACTCGAAAAGAGAGGAAACTAAAAATTGAATTTAGTGAGTCTAAAAGCAATAACACCCTGAGGCAAAGAAAATATTTACGAAGAATCACCTATACGAGCTCGAGAGGATCGTTTTACAGTATCCGCTGATCTAAGTAAAATATATATTTGCTTTGCTATAATTATTAAACTGATCATCATAACAATTGCAGCTATTTCACTTATTCCTCAGGATTATGCGGTGCTCATTTTTAAAATTAGAGCAACAGTATTGTAATTACTTCACCTAATGTGACTTCATCGAGAGATGATAACCCTCAGCAAATCAAAGTACTCACTTCTCGATAACCATTTTAAGCTATTAAACTAAACGAGCAATAATGTCTTTCTTTTTGGTAAGGAATTGAATTTTTTGTTCAACGCTACCATGTTGTTTCTCGAGGGGAGGGTGGGGTGGGAGGGGAAGGGAGAGTGTAGCGATCATAGTTCGTTATAGTTAAAGTGCAGGGGAAACTTCTCAACTAATAAGTGACCATAGAAAACATTAAAAATATATTTTCAACGGAGCTTTTTAAAAACGTAAGTTAATGCTCATCATTTCATTGATTTGTGCTCTGTTATCATGTATTAAATTTCAGTTTGGTAGTTGATCGGAAAAATTTTAAATTTGACTTTCCGAGACTTTGAGGACGTTAAGATTGTTTCGCCTCCGCGGGAGTGCATGCCACCTTTTTTTAGGTCATGACGTCCTGAAAAGTCATTTATTCCCAGGCTCGTTAGTATCAAGATATGCAAGTAAAAAGTGCCACTTTTAAAATAACTAGATCCTCCACTTTATTTAAAATCACCAAAAATATTTACAAAAGTTTGATAAAAACCCTAAAAATCGAAAAACACATTAAAATGTCCATTAAAAAAGTGCCACTTTTTGTTTTAATTCATAGATTGGAGGATGGATAATGCTGGCAGTTGTTCTTGTCGGAATTACGGTGTTGGTTTCAACTCATTTTCATGCCAGGAAGAAAACGAAAGAGTTGAAGAGATTACCGCAATTAATGTACAATGAAATACGTCGCAACCGAGGACGCTGGGTGTAGAAAAAAGCGCCAAAAAATTGATGAGTAAAGTATCGGAGAGACCTTCATCTTGCGATGGCCGAGTCAGAATATCATTTTACTTTATTGAGTTTGTTACACCGTAGTATCAGCAACTGGAGAAGAAAACAGGACGATGTTCTTTTTTTCCTAGTACGGTCTACGTCACTGAAGACATGAACGTAACATCAATGTTAGAGTTATTGTATGAAATGCCACACAGAACTTTAATATAATCTATACTGGCTCTAACGTTAAATGTTAAACTTCGTTTGAGCCAAAAAACTGCGTTAAATATTAACTATAGTCTGCGCTTTAAGTTGTGATTTAGCACATGGACTTGACGAAAGTGGTAGACCAGTACGCTATCACAATTTTTTGCAATGCAACAGCATTTTTGTTCAATAAATGTAAGAAATGGTGCTCATGCAATCTACCGTCATGTAAAAAATTATAACATAACCAACGTAAAGCGCGCGCTCTGATTGGTCAATTTAGCGTCCACCATTTGCCCATGGGTGTACGCAGCTGACGTGAGCAAATGCAAAGACTATTTTTCCGCGCGCGCTTGTTTTTTCTGGTCACGTAAGATTTGTTAAATAAAAGGGAACTCTTTAGCTACAATGTGTTAATGTTATGTTATAAAACAAATGGTAAACACCACAGCGTACACTATTGAGTTATGGATGCACTTGGGACGTTTGCTAAGCACTTAAGAAGCTAGAGTCGCTCTCGGTTATCGCCTCGAGCGACTCTTACGATTCGTTCGTGCTTAGCCGCCATCTCGCGTGCATCCATAACTCAATAGTGTACGCTGTGGTGTTTACCATTTGTTAAATATAGCAGGGACAAAAACTAAGGACCGAAAGCTCAGTTTTAAGCCAGCCTCAATGCAGGTGCTTCTATAATGCTCATCAGCGTCGCCGTTTTGCTTCACCTTTGTGATATTTAAAAGTACCATTTAAAGAGGTCGCAAACAGATATGACTTTCTTGTTTTAGCAACATGATATTAAAATTAGTACTCGGAGTAGAAAAGATTTCTTGACACATTGTCGTAGCATCTTTAGAAAGGTTGATATTTTATCTAAAAAAATTAAAATTTTGTAACATGGCAAGCTTTTGTAGAGTTCAGGATATAAGTTTCAAAAAGATGCAGCATGCAACTACGAGACACATAACGAAAGGCTTCAAACTCATGAAGACTTAAAACTACACAATTCCAGCCTCAGAGAACTTCAATTCTAGATTAATTTATGTTCCTTTTCATGTATATCAGTGTTTGAAACCTCCCTCAGGTAAATCACGATCGTGAGTCGATGGACCAATAAAGGTCATAATGAAATTTATACTGAGTTGTCTGACCTTTGGAGAGGGACCTCATTCATCTTGCCACTGAATGATACTGACTTAAATCCTTCATGGTATTTCGTACTACATATTCCATTATAGGGTTGGAAAGAGATTTTTATCAAGAGATTTTTACACAATAGACAAAACTGCGACACAAAATTCTATCCATCAGTCGTACCCAGACTTCTTGCTCCACAAATAAGTGCCCTAAATCTTCCAGTGGCTCTCCTTGATAGCTTGGACTTTGTCTCACCTGTCCTTAAAGCCTGCAGCCTCTCTTTATACTTCCTCTCCTTTAGCGACAGATTCCGCAAAGAGAATCTATGTCGATCTTTTATGAAAGCTTTTCGGACAGAGTCCGCTCTAGATTCCCTCATCTGTTTTGCCAGGTTGGCAAATACTTCATCGACACCGATGTCATTCTTGGCAGAGGTTTCAAAAAATGAGCAAGATAAGGTGGCAGCGATTTTTTTCCCGTTCTGATATGAAACTTCTCGTTCATCGTCTAAGTCGCTCTGAGGACAGACAAATAAAATATTAAGAATACTACGTATGATGCACGATCCTCGCAGTAGAGAGTGCTATTTATGCAATAGCGAAATTCAGACCTGAAAAAAATCAGGCCTGTACGGGATTCGAACCACTGACGTCTGCGATACTAGTGCAGCGCTCTACCAATTGAGCTAACAAGCCAACTGGGAGCAGGCCGTTAAGTTGATTCGTAATAAACCCGTGGTGATAAATCAGATACGATGAACATATGAACTTCATATATTCATCGTATCTGATTAAGAATGCTGTAGAACAGAAACCAGGAAGGAATTTTTTTCGCCTCCAGCGACAAGTATATGTGAACATCATTATGCCTGTTCGACTTTTGATGTCGTTATTTGAAAATGAGGACACAATTTGATTCAGACTGCAGCGTATTAGTGAGGGAGCTTTATTTTTCTCTTTTTTCACTGAATCCCGCCAGTAGGAGACGTTATTAAGATTCTCTATAATTTTAAAAATTCTGAGCTGATTTCAAAGAAATAAATGCAAAGTGAGAAAGACTAACAACTCAAGCAGATACCACAAAACAATTCACCCAGTGTAAAGACAACAGCTCAAAGACGAACAAAACGCCATGCACAATCATCCAAATTAAAGTACATCAATCCATAGCAATAACTACAATAACAATTAAGAAAACATTGAATAATTTTGCTCACTTTGTTTCCAACCAAAATAATGGGGATTTGAGGTATAATCTTGTCCTTTTCTCCTTTGGCCGCAACGATCTGTTCATGGAAAGATGCGATTGCAGTGGAACTGGAGCGGTCTGTTATGGAATAAACCAATAGGAATCCGTCCCCATTCTTTATGTATTGGTCTCTCATTCGCCGGAACACGTCCTTACATGAAATCATTTACAAGTCAAACACATGAACGTATACGTGAATGTAACAAACAATTCATGATAGGACAGAGAAAAGGGCAAAGTTGGCTTGAAAGAAAATGCAGTTCAAAACGATGATTTATCAAGCGAGGAGCCGAAAGTTATAAATATCATGTGTTATTTGTAACTTTTAATTATTTTAAAAGTATCAAGTAAACTCCTCATCACGAGTTGGAGACCAATGTTACCACAGGATTAAGCCATAGCCGTTTGGTGCGCAAAGTCACGGTCCTAGCATCAAATTACCGGAAGTTGAGAGGGTAGGTAGTTTAATCTTCGAGTTAAAAATGGTTGTGCTTCAAGGTCGTGGGAGTGCAATTGAGGTTGGATAAACTCACGTTTCCTGCCGTGTCAACCACCGCAACTTTGATTGGGTATCCATCCACTTCAATGTCTGTTTCGTAGTTATCCTCTTAAAAATAAACCAAATTATAGAGACATTTTAAATACCCATGTTCCAGTGGATCGAATGGTTTTTAAATAGACTTTTGCAGTTATTTGTTTCTGTCACCTTTTTTAGCACGGTAAGAGCTATGCTAGACCAGATTTACGGAAAAGTTGTACGTTAAGACGTTAAAAAAATGATGTTGAAATTGTCTTAGTTCGCATCC